GATTTGCACCCCCCCCACCCTCAAACTTTCGATCTGCACCCCCCCCCCTCAATCAAACTTCTAACCCCCCCCCCCCACCTGCCTACGCCACTGAACCAAAACAGAGTAACTCTAGTAACACCACCTCATTAAGAGTCATTATCAAACGAATTCCTTAGCAACACCAATCTTACCTCATTATCAAACGAAATCCATGGGGTCGGCGTGGTCGAGTCGGTAAAGCTCATGGTTGCTAAACCGAAAAGTCTCGAGTTCGAACCCTCGGGCAGATGAGGCTCGTTAGCTGGGGACAACCACTCTTCTAGGAGAGACAACTCCAAAATTAAACAACTGCTGCCATGTAGTTTGTTCTTGGTTGGACAAAGGCTATGGAAGCAAATCAGGTTGACACGTAACGCTTAATTGTGTTGGATGCGTGGTCGAGTCGGCAAAAAGCTCAGGGTTGATAAATTCGAACAAAGTCTCGAGTTCAAACCCACTGGCAGATAAATCCCCTTCAACACTAATAATTAAGAACGAAGAAGAAGAAGAAGAAAAACGAATTCCTTAGCTACACCCATCTTACCTCATTATCAAACTGATTCTTAAGCACACACATATTTTAACAACACAAACAAACATATTATCTAACATATTCTCTAATAACACCCATCTTACCACATAGATTCTAGATCTAGATCTCTAGATCTATTTTACTCCACCTCTCCTTCACATACCCTAAGGCCATAACTTCACTACTTATTTATGTAAAGAAAAAACTGTTTATTTACAATAACAAAACAGCTAATGTTTTCATAAGTATAATTGGATCTAGATCTACATCTCGGTGATCTTAATTTTAATGAATTATATTTCATACGCCCATCACGACACTTGGTATCAAAATCTTGATTTAAACATGATGGTGCAGAATGGTGCATTATTGTTGCGGTGTGTAAATGACTAAGTCACATTTTTACTTTCTCAAAAAACAAAAAAACAAAAAAAAAACGCATGTGAATTTATAAAGTACTAATAATTTTCCACACTATTTTACACATAGTGTTTAGCGTTCACTTAGTGCGCAATTCTTTTTTTTTTTACGAGATTCCATTCTATTCTATCGTTAAAAGTTTTAAGTAATAAAAAATGGATTAAAAATCATGTCTATATCCTGAGTTCCCATCCCCCGTAATGTTATATAAGAATATTCGAGAAAGTTTAGGGGGGATCACTCCCGGTTTATTTCTTTGAAATTACATTTTTTTGGTGTCACCCCTCCCCCTTTCTCCGTTCTGAGTTAGTTTCCGGTGCTGCCCTATGATTAGTATCTACAAGCTGTCCATTATCCTGCGTACTCTTAACCAAAGTTTCTTTCAGGTATATTTTGCCCCCCCCCCTTGAACGTAATAAAATTTATATAGAAAATATATACTTCTACCAGTGTCGTCGCCCCCCCCCCCCCCCTCGGTGTTTTAATACGCCCCTCCCAACCAAAATTTCAAGTGCTCCCCCCCCCCCCCCGAAGAAAATATTCTGGAAGAAACACTGCTCTTGACTAGCTCCGATTAAACCTTTACGCTAAGTGCATGCCTCTCTCTCTAGATTTTTAGGCCTTGATTGTTCTACTGCTCAGCTATACGAGTTGTAGGCCTTGGGGGTCATCCATAAATGACGTCACACTCGTATGGGGGGAGGGGGGGGGGGTCCGTAATTTTGTGACGATATGTGATGACGGGGAGGGGGGGGGGGGGGAGTCAGATGTTGCGACGTCACACTTTTGCATTATAAAAAAGCAATGTTAGAAAACGAATTTTAGACGTTATTTCGCGTTTTAGATAACTGTTTTAATAAATTGTAATAGTTTAGACAAGATTTTAGAAAAATATCGATGTTTTACAAAAATTCAACTGCAATTTTGAGGGGGGGTTGTAGGTTGAGGTGTGACGTCATTTTAGGGGTGGGGGTCTGGCTTTTTGTGACGACGTGTGACGGAGGGGAGGTAAAAATCTTCAAAAAAAAAGCGTGACGTCATTTATGGATGACCCCTTGTTTGTTCTACTGCTCAGCTATACGAGTTGTAGGCCTTTATTGTTCTACTGCTCAGCTAGACGAGTTGTAGGCCTTGTTTGTTATACTGCTCAGCTATACGAGTTGTAGGCCTTGATTGTTCTACTTCTAAGCTATACGAGTTGTAGGCCTTAATTGTGCTACTGCTCAACAGTAGAGGTGCAGACTTTGATTGCATGACCACTCTTTTAAGCGTGTAGGAGTGTTTATAGGGTTCTTAAACAGCTGCGCTTAACCGCTGATTGATTGGGTTTAAATACAACTCTGCCCAGGCTTTGTTTAGGTTGCGGCTATTCGTCCTTGACTACGGATAGCACTATGAATGCTATTCGTACTATGACCAATCAGCGCGAGGCATTTTTCAGTGATTCTTGAAGGCTGCGGCTATTCGTACTTTACTACCAATAGCCATATGAAGGCCATTCGTACTCTGACCAATCAGCGCGAGGCATTTTTGCAGTGATTCTTGTAGTAAGCCTATCACAATAGTTAAATACTTCGTTTACTGAAGCTTTTGAAACCTAAGTGTTTCAATCATTCCGACATCAGTATTAAACACCTGCTGATTGGGGAAATCAACTTTAATGCCAAAGTATGGTTTAGCTGTTCCACCTTGGTAATTTTTTTTTTAAATAGCAGCAGCGATAGAAAGATCAGTAAACATTCGCGTATAATAACATCGAAACAATCAAAAATAGATTAACGATTGAAGAAATCGAATGGTCACAAACTGGTTGCTGATACTAGTGCTAGTTCAAAGTCTACCGATGGCGGGCTCTCTGTGCCGCAGTGCTTGCTGTCTGCTCACCTTACAGTATGGTGACCACTGTTGTCAACTCGCGCTGCTGAGCGATCCCCCCCCCCCCCCACACCACCACCACCCCGATCCACTCACCTTCCCTGCCTGAAATGAAATTGGCAGTCAGCTTGTCCCAGAATTCTTGAGATTGTTCTAAAAGGTTCTCTCAGCTGATCGATATGACAACGAGGGCATCCAATGTGGGTTTGGCATCCCGCGCGGCACGCGGAGACTAAACGGTCATGGCTGAATATCCGACAGGCCACGCCCACCAATCCTTTTATTACTGGACCGATAAACTGCTGCTCGATTTATAATTGTCTTTAGCAGAGTTTCTTCCAGTCATCTCTTCGGGGAGGCTTTGGCTCCCCCCCCCCTCGAAAAAATTCTACCCCCCCCCCCCCAACGAAATGAAATTTATATAATTTATACAGAAAATATATACTTTTAACAGTGTCCGCCGTCCGCCCCCTCCCCCCCCCCCCCCCCCCGAAAAAGTTCTACCCCCCCCCCCCCCCGAACGAAATGAAATTTATATAATTTATAAAATATATACTTTTAACAGTGTCCGCCCCCCGAAGAAAGTCTACCGTTCCCCCGAAAATTTCAAGTGCCCCCCCCCCCCCCGGAGAAAAAAGTCTGGAAGAAACACTGAATTCTGTACATCATTAGTTTAGAGCTGGATATTTTCAACTAACTATTCCTCGAGAGTCATGTAAATTAATTAAACCATTTCAATTAAATACAATGTAAATTCCATTCTCAATAGAACTTCAAACGTTTCAAAATCTCGCATGAACAGCTTCTTTGCATCTAAGAACTCGTATTAAAGAATTTTCGCGGAGTTTTAGTGTAATGAATTCTACCGATCACAAAAAAGTTGATCAAAGACAGAGCACTTGATTAAGACTCTGTCATTGGTAGAAAAAATAAATAACTCCGCGCAGACCTTAACGTTCATGATTGACGACAAAAAGTTATGAACAAGCGAGAAACAATTGTGCCGCTCTAGCCACAGAAACAAAGACATGTACAAACAAGCGACATTTGTGCCTCTGTAAACACGCAGATTAGAATTTGTGACTAGCTAATACACGATGCCCGAAATAAACACAGGTGAGTAGTTATTTTTGTCTTCTATTGTTCAGACGCAAAGCGTAACTTCGATTAAATGTTAAGTTTGGTTTAGAATTATTGATACATAACTAGTGGGTGCAATAATATTAAATTTAATTACCTCCAAATGGCGATAAGTATATCTAACGTCACCTTATCTGTCGCTGTTTGTTTCTAAATATTACCTAAATATTCCTAAATATTGAAGTGTATTTAATAACCTTCAAACGACGAATATTTGCCGTCTTTAGCCAAACATAGATTAATATAGGACTGTTGTTGTATGTAAGGCCTTAATTTTAAGCGAAGTTATTGTCAATAAATTTTTGTTATTTCGTTTCAACAAATGTTCACTGTTTTGCTTCTTTTATCTGGATAGACCTTTATTATGAGAGTCACTGGCGTTGCCAGGTGATGGTCATGGAAGGTGTTTACATTTTCTCTCTCTCTCTCTTTCTCTCTGAATTTATACAATAAATGGACATATTTTATATATATATATATATATATATATATATATATATTGGCTTCAATATAGGCTATATGCACACAAACATACAAAGGCTTTATATATATAAAGCCTTTGTATGTTTGTGTGCATATAGCCTATATTGAAGCCAATATATATATATATATATATATATATATATATATATATATATATATATATATATATATATATATATATATATATATATATACATATATATATATATATATATATATATATATATATATATATATATATATATATATATATATATATATATATATATATATATATATATACTTATATTTATACATATACTAGCCGTCCCGGCCAGACCCTGTTCTGGCTTCTGTGAAAAACCTTTCTGTTAAAGACCATTACCTGTGTGTTTAGTAATCATCATAAACCCGGCATTGCCCACCCAAACCACAACCAACCAAAACAACAAAACGCAAACATAACGCTAACACAATTACAAATACAAACGAAAACAAAAACCTAACAACAAACCCAACCACAATCACAAATACAAACACAATGAAAAAACAAACAAAAAAGCAAACGAAAACAAAAACCTAACAACAAACCCAACCACAACCACAACCACAAACACCAATACGAACACAAAGAAAAAAACACAAACGAAAAAGCAAACGAAAACAAACCAAATTCAAACGCAAAACCAACCACAAACACAAACCCAAAGAAAAAAACACAAACGAAAAAGCAAACGAAAACAAACCAAATCCAAACGCAAAACCAAACACAAATACAAACACAAACCCAAAAAAAAAACACAAACGAAAAAAGCTTAATAATCGACTATAGTACCCCAACTTATTCATAGTCTTTTTGCACTCACTTAAACGAACGTAGGTGCCAAACCAAACCAAATGAACAATTATAATACTCCAAGCTTATTCGTAAAATACCTACAACATTTGCACTTGATCAATCCCCGCTAATTATGTAATTATTTTTTCCCCAACACCAAAACAAAGTAATAAAAAGTAAATTCTTTTCCACTAATGCAGTGTTTTATAAAGGGAAGTAATTGTGTTTTCCTAATTTATCAAAGGGAAGTAAGTGCTAAAGGACTAAATATAAATAATTTTCAGACATAATTAGAATTTTTGTTATTTTTTTAAAAATTGTGTTTAATGAACATGCCGACAACTATTACTATGAAAATTATTTCCCAACACTTTCAATAGTAATTTTTTAACTCATAAATTTAGACAAATGCGCACGATAATAGTCTAACACTTTAATCCATCGAAGTATGTCAACGACAAACATGTATTTTTACATACAGAATTGAGCTTTATATATTAGAATTATACTTATATTTATACTTTTATATATATAAAAGCTAGATGGAAGCTCTATCTGTAAAGGACCGTGTCTTGTGTGTTTATTAAGTACCATATACCCATATTTTGGTTTTCAATTAAATGTTTATATGCAAATACGGACGTTTGAGAAAAAAGCACATAACATAACTTAACTCTAACAACATCCAAAACGCAAACGCAACACAAGCGCAATATATATATATATATATATATATATATATATATATATATATATGTTTGTCTGTGTGTTTCGGCCTACCTATACTTTTTTTTAGCTTTAATCACTGCAGACGTAATAGTAACGATGTTCATCTTTAGTCTGTTAACAATACAGTTGGATGTTGCAATGTTTTCTCTTAAGTTAGCACATTTACGTCATGGTGTCACCCTCTTGTAATAGATGTCGATTTGAACTAAAAAGACTATTTAACTTTATTTAATCATCAATGGAACTGGCAGAAAAACCTTTTTCTTCTGAACATTTTGCAATTTATTTTCCTTGGTGTCGCCCGGTGCGGTCTACACCCTCTGCTCCGCCCTCGCTACGCCTCTGGGTTTGGGATAGGACAGCAGTGTATTAGGGTAGACAATACGCAATATAAATTAATATTTAGTTTACTACCAACTTCCCACCCCTTATTTTAGAAGATTCCATTAATCTGCAACAACAGGCACTGGCATAGCCTATGTCCCAATTAATCTTACACCTGAGCTAGACATGCTGATTGATGTAATCATGTCAACAGGTGTAATATGTTATAACCCCCCCCCCCCCACCACCACCAATGTTGAATACTATTTATAGTTTAGCATGTAATTTATAAATGTTTATGAACTTTTTAAATAATAGGGCAACAGTTGACTAATAATATCTAAAGAAAGTAGCAGGTTCATTGAGTATATAAATACACAATCTATAAGATTTATATAACCAGGCACATTGGGAGACCCCCCATCCACAGAAAGGAGCAGAGAATAATAAAACTATACAATTTAATGCAATGATAGAATAAACAAAAAAAAAGGTATGTACAATTTTATTAAAAGAGTAACTTCCCCTGATCTAAGACTCTCTCCTACTCATTTTTTGAAAATTATCCCGTTATATTTTTCAACATTAAATGAAAGAAAAAAACACTTCAAATACACATGGACCCTGTTTCACATATATACAAGAAACAATGTTCAATAAAAGAATATTTTAAAATCACAACAATATTTAAAAAAGTACATAAAACAAGTACAAATGAAACAATAGTGATGTGATGTAAAGTGTGTTGACAAAATACTTTCCTTAGCTTGGTCTGTGGTCTAGGGTAATAGTTAGTAGAAGAATGTTTAGCCCATGCTTTAATTAAGCACTGTATACAATTTAGTTTGCTCTTATGAAAATTGAATGTAAGTGCTAGTTATTTATCAGCTAGTTGTCACTGGTAGAGTAATCTACTGTGAAAATTTCTTAAGATGATTTCACTAGAGACCCCTGGAAGAATATTGTGAGGTGTGAATTAAACTCTGGAAAATTATTATTTGGATGCTATCAGAGAAAATAATTTTTACTTAACGAATGGGAAGGTTTATGACCCACAGCCAGATCAAAATGTAAAGAAAGATTCCTCTTTAGCGATCCATTGGGCAGATGAAGTCAAATTCATAAGTTTCATGACCTCGTCATATGAAGGGATAGTGTGGTTAGCAATATTGTCCAGCCACTTTTACTTTCCCAAATGTAAGTCAGGTACCCATCAGAGCTTAATGTACCCAGGGATGTCTAAGATTAAAATCTAGTGATTTGTTAACACCGACTTATGTCTGTGTGTTTTATTACAAACATTTACAGGTAAACAAAAAATAACTAAATTAATGCTTCTACACTTTTAGTCTTAAATCATTTTAATTGACATTCATTTTTAAAATAGTTAGATCTAGTATGTACATCGATAAAATGAACTGCTACCTTTGTGAATACAAAGGACAAAAATTAATATGTAACATTCTAACAATGTTACAAATTAATATTTAAGAAATAGAAAAAGTAGTACATTTTACAAAAAAAAAGTATATTAAAAATGGACCATTTATTTTTACAGAATTCAATATTGTTTTTACTGGCAAGCTGGACAACTCAATAGGGCTGGTAAGTAGGTCATCAAACAGTTCTCTGGCTCAATAAAACCTGCATGAGCCATAGAACTGGTTGGTGACCTACTTACCAGCCCTATTATCTTAGATAACAGACTATCTCCTAAATCTGCATGAATCTACCGCAACCTCCCTGCCACACACTACAACAAACCCCCTCGTCAATGAGCTGTATTGAATAAATTTTACTTTTAAAATACGTTGATCGACTATGTAACATATTTTCTGCATGGAAGCCCACACAAAAATAACTTCGGTCTATATAAAAAATTCAAAATAATATAAATTTTAAATCAGCTTTTCATTGAATATGTAATAGCATAAGTAAAAGTTTTCTAAAAGAATTTAATGTAATATCTACTCCCCCCCCCATCCTTTTAAAACAATGTCTAGCCCAGATCAAATCTCTCCCATCGTCTCACACAGGTACAACCAAATTGCTCAGCAGTTCTTTAACAGCAGGCAGGATAGCGCACTCGTTGTTGTGGTTCTGCTGCTGGTAGTGCTCAGCGAACCTGTTGAGCATGGTGCTGACCGCCTGCAGGGAGGGGGTGTTGTTGATCTGGGGGTGCTTGCCCTCCACCCTGGTCAACTTGTTGGTCTGCATTTCATAAAGCAGTGGAACAAAGATGGACTGTTCGCTGGGTCCAACAGTCAGGCCAATGCGGGTCAGCTGCAGCTGAAAACAGGAAAAAACTTCAAGTTTCAGCTCTATAAATAGCATCATTTACTGGGTTTATAAAAAACATTACAAAATAAAGAAAAGAAAAAAAAATAATTTCAAAATTAAATTCTACATTTTGAGTCAGGCCAATGCGGGACAGCTGCAGCTTAAACCAGGGAAAAAAATTCAAGTTTCAGTTCTATAAATAGCATCATTTACTGGGTTTATAAAAAACACTATTACAAAATAAAGAAAAGAAATTTTTTTTTCAGAATTAAATTCTACATTTTGAGTTTCTTTTAAAAAAAAATAAATCCCAAGATAATAAGAAAAATTAAGTCATAAGCTGTAGGGATGCTGTAAGTTACGTATGACACTACCAGATGACGTACCATGAAAATCATTTTAGCTCGAACAACAAACGCAGGCACACCGACAGGCGAGATGAAATGAAGTGAAGGGGGGATGGTCAAGCACCACTGAACTGTCCATTTCATTGACCTATCTGGCATCTGAAAAGTGAAAAATATTGCTCGTTTATACACTACCAAATTAGTTATTTTACAAGAGGCTTAAGTAAGTTCAACCACTCAGTGTGACCAGCTGTTTAGACCTAAAATGTGACCAAGTTATACACAAACAAAATAAAATATTTGACAATTAATTTGATTTTAAATTTTCTGACCACAACCACTATGTGTGACAAACTTATCTGACCCCGTATGGCTAGATTAAACTTATCAAAGCTGTGACCAACTTATGTGACCCCATATGGCTAGATTAAACTTATCAAAGCTAAATAGTTCAAATTAAATGTGCCTTAATGTTTCTGACTATGAAACTGCCTGGTTAAATCACTGAGCGTTCTACTGCTAACCCAAAAGTTTCAAGTTCAGATCCCTGGCTAGAGTCATTGCACGTCCCTGAGCCCACACACATCTGATGGGTTCCTGACTTACCTAAAGGACAGTAAAGCTGGCTGGGCATAGTGCTGAACACATTATCCCTTCATATGCCAAGGTCACGAAATGAATGAACTCAACTTCATCTGCCCAATGGATCACTAGGCCTAAAGAGGATTCTTTACTTTTTATGCCAAGGTCACAGGATCTCTACTTCACCTGCCCCGTGGGTCATCAGGTCCAAAAGGGAGCTTTAAATATTTCTGACTACAACAACCACGCATGACCTACGTATCAGACCTACCAGCTCTAGCTTCATGATCTGTATGCAGTCTTTGAGTATTCTGTATGGGGCTGAGATGATCCTTCCAACTGCAGTGAGAGCATTGAGGCGATAGGGTGGACAAAAGACTTTGAGATCAAAAAACTTCTCCAGTATCTGAAGCTCTTCTGTAGTCCATTTCTCTTGGTGCTCTAACAACAGGGGAAATAGGGAAGTGGTAGAGTCAAGCATTAGGGGATGAAAATATCTACCAACAGGGGCAATAGGGAAGTGGTAGGAGTCAATCATTAGGGGATGAAAATATCTACCAACAGGGGCAATAGGGAAGTGGTAGAGTTAATCATTAGGGGATGAAAATATCTACCAACAGGGGCAATAGGGAAGTGGTAGAGTCAATCATTAGGGGATGAAAATATCTACCAACAGGGGCAATAGGGAAGTGGTAGAGTCAATCATTAGGGGATGAAAATATCTACCAACAGGGGCAATAGGGAAGTGGTAGAGTCAATCATTAGGGGATGAAAATATCTACCAACAGGGGCAATAGGGAAGTGGTAGAGTCAATCATTAGGGGATGAAAATATCTACCAACAGGGGCAATAGGGAAGTGGTAGAGTCAATCATTAGGGGATGAAAATATCTACCAACAGGGGCAATAGGGAAGTGGTAGAGTCAATCATTAGGGGATGAAAATATCTACCAACAGGGGCAATAGGGAAGTGGTAGAGTCAATCATTAGGGGATGAAAATATCTACCAACAGGGGCAATAGGGAAGTGGTAGAGTCAATCATTAGGGGATGAAAGTATCAACATTAGGAGAAAACTGATCTTGTAAATTTATTCAATAAGGAAGGCAGTATGAAAACTTATAAATAAAATTATATCAACTAAGGAATAGGATAAACATTTTGTGGATAAAAATAATAATTGAAAACAGCAACCAAGGAAGCAATAATGTATGATCCATCATGGTCAAGTTAATTGTTGCCCCTTTCTAAACTCTGACATTAGAAACATTGAAATTACAATTGTGTTGGTAACATATCACTTTGATTAAAATCCATTTTTTTTAAAAAGTTAACAAGGATATAAAGATTTGTTTTCCTTAACATTTTTCTATAAGGTACGTGGTGAAATACAACTGTTGTGTAAAGATGATTAGAGATCTGGCCACAAATGTTTTTCACTACTGATACCTTGGTGTATTTAAAACATAATGGTTTAATATAATAATATAGATTTTTTTTTTAAATGGAGTTAGAACAGTATGGTTCTGGATAAGTGATGTGTTCTTATAACATGCACTGGATATGTGCTCCATATGGTAGCCTGTCTATTTGAACACAATAGATCCAACTTTCGAATAACTGTACAGAAAATGAAATGAATGGGTAGATGGAATTACCTGGTGCTGGCGTGATTTTCATGTGAAGTGATTGGCAGGTGGTGTTGTTCAAGGACAGCTTAAACTGCAAGGTGTCGGCTTTAAAGCAAATGACACCAGGCTCATTTATTGGAACCAACTGCATCTGTATCGTAAAAAAAAAAGAGCAAACTAATGAAGGAAGATCATGCCCACAGGAAATCAATTCAATGTGGTTAAACTATTTGTAGATGTCAGGAAAGTAAAAAAAAAAAAGAACAATTATGAGTTTTACTTTTAAAAATAACAGAAAAACCTCATAGCTTGCTAATCAAGGTTGCAGTTGGCATTAAATGCATCAAACCTTTGATTATTGTAGCAATATAACTATATCTAGGGCATCATTTATGTCATCCTAGTAGACAAGCAATAAACAAAATAGGAAAATATGGGAGGGTATAAAAAAAAAGAAGTTTACACATCTTCCAAATATGGCTATTTATAAAATAGGGAAATGCCAAAGATTTAAGCTAACAATACCAAAATTATTTTAAACAGTGTCATAACCTGTGGTCATGTACAGAGTTTTCATGTAGTAGGACATACCTGTGGTCACGTACACAGTGTACCCATATTAAAACACTCCTGCATGTACAGAGTGTACATATATTAAACATTCCTGTGGTCATGTACAGAGTTTACATGTAGTAGGACATACCTATGGTCCATACCCATATTAAAACACTCCTGTGGTCATGTGCATAGTGTACCTGTAAGATCCACCTATAATAGTACATTCATGTGTACCTGTGGAAAGATGTACCTGTGGTTCTGTAGACACCAGCCTACTGATGTGTTTCTTCATGATGGTACAAGCGAAGAATCTCTCCAGTGGTGAGGCAGGTGTGTGCTGGACTGACCCCTGCTGAGGCTCTGGGGTGGGGGTCAGCAGAGTGTCAAAACCTTTGTGAGACAGTATGGTGGGGATAGCTGCGGCCCAGGCTCTCTGGGGTAATATCCTAGCCTGCATGCTGATACCTGAGGGTAGAGGGGAATAGATGAGTGAGGGGGGTTGGTGTGTGAGTGGGGGGAGGTGGTGTAAGGAGGGTTGGTTGTTGGATTGTTGTGAGATAGGTTGAATGTGATGTGAGAAGGGTTGGTGTTGGGTGGGAAGTTGGCAGTTGTGTAAGTTGACTTGTGAGGGGTGAAGGCTTTTGTTTAAGTGTGCAAGCTGTTGTGTGAGGGAGAAGTCTGTTGTGTGAGGGAGAAGTCTGTTGTGTGAGGAAGAAGGTTGTGTGAGGGAGAAGGTTGTGTTAGTGCGTAGGCTGTTGTGTGAGGGAGAAGTATGTTGTGTGTGGGAGAAGTATGTTTTGTGTGTAAGCTGTTGTGTGAGGGAGAAGTCTGTTGTGTGAGGGAGTAGGCTGTTGTGTGAGGGAGTAGGCTGTTGTGTGAGGGAGTAGGCTGTTGTGTGAGGGAATAGGCTGTTGTGTGAGGGAGAAGTATGTTGTGTGAGGGAGAAGTATGTTGTGTGTGGGAGTAGGCTGTTGTGTGAGGTATTAGGCTGTTGTGTGAGGGAGAAGTATGTTGTGTGTAAGCTGTTGTGTGAGGGAGTAGGCTGTTGTGTGAGGTAGAAGGCTGTTGTGTGAGGGAGAAGTCTGTTGTGTGAGGGAGTAGGCTGTTATGTGAGGGAGTAGGCTGTTGTGTGAGGGAGTAGGCTGTTGTGTGAGGGAATAGGCTGTTGTGTGAGGGAGTAGGCTGTTGTGTGAGGGAGAAGTCTGTTGTGTAAGGGAGAAGTTGGTTGTGTGGGGGAGTAAGCTGTTGTGTGAGGGAGAAGTCTGTTGTGTGAGGGAGAAGTTGGTTGTGTGGGGGAGTAAGCTGTTGTGTGAGGTATTAGGCTGTTGTGTGAGGGAGAAGTATGTTGTGTGTGTAAGCTGTTGTGTGAGGGAGAAGGCTGTTGTGTGAGGGAGAAGTTGGTTGTGTGGGGGAGTAAGCTGTTATGTGTAAGCTGTTGTGTGAGGGAGAAGTATGTTGTGTGTGTAAGCTGTTGTGTGAGGGAGAAGGCTGTTGTGTGAGGGAGAAGTTGGTTGTGTGGGGGAGTAAGCTGTTGTGTGTAAACTGTTGTGTGAGGGAGAAGTCTATTGTGTTAGTGTGTAGTCTGTTGTGTGAGAGTTTTGTTTAGCGACATAAAACAGCTGTGTAAAAAATGAACACTCAACCAGGTAAACAGGCGTTACCTGCATGAATACTGAGACCAGGTGAGTGTACAGCGTGGAGCGAGGCAGGTGACGGGTCTTGTACTGAAGGTGAGCCCACCCATCCTCCCCCTCTGTGTCCATTCGGTGATGGCATGGCCAGGTTAGATCCAGTGAATGGGGAGCCTCCATCAACAATTCCTGGAGAAGATAAACACATTGAGATTAAATAAAAGAAACAAATGTTTCCATGGTCTGACAGACTATATGATTATTGCATCATGGAAATCAAGGTGCAAGGCCTGGGAAGTAAGCTGAGCCATATGTTGCCCATGTATAAGGCCCCTCTATCCACACAAGGGACAGGACTACTTATACAACTAGGCATCAGCTTGGTCACAGTAACTGTTGAAACAGAACCATACTTGGTAATCCTATCACCTAATGGGCTCCACTCCTGTTTGATTTCTGAGTTTTCTCTTCTAGATGGGTTGCTGTTCCCTGCTGTCAAGTCTTATCTGCCATGGGGTTCAAACTCAGGACTTTTGGGTTTAGCAACCATGAGTTTTACCAGCCCAACAATGCCAACCACTTTTAGATTACACATGACAATAAAACTATTTCTGCACATTTTACTTCATGTGTTTGTTCCTTTAAAAAATTTTTTTTACCTAACTTTTTTAATAAAATATTGCATAAAACTATGTATACAAAATAATTGAAGATTAAATAAACTTATCTGTTTAGGTAAAAATGTGTCTGGGGAACATACTTTCAAGTTAAAAAAAAAGAGATCAGGTAGATGATTGTACATAGTTATTAATTGTACCTGTTGTCAGTGCTAAATAAATCAAGGTAGATGATTGTTAAAAATTGCTGATTTTGCCGATTACCAGTGATAAATATATCAGATATATGATTGTACATCAACCTGTTGATTGTGCATATTACCAGTGCTAAATATATCAGGTAGGTGATTGTACAAAGAGCTTTGTTGATTTTGCATAATACAAGTGCTATATATCTGATGATGGTAAGTAGAGCTGTTGATTGTGCCTATTACTAGTGCTAAATATATCAGGTATATGATTGTACAAAGAGCTGTTCATAGAGCTGTTGATGGTGCCTGTTCAAGAGAAATCTACTGTACCTGCCATAAAGGAGGTGGCAGGAGACTGCATGTGCAGGCCTACAATTGAGGAAGGGGATTGTGCAACAAAGCCAGGTGAGGCGACATGCAGCTGAGGGTTCCCAGGTGAGTTGGCTGTCAGCAGGGTTCCAGGTGAGGGGGTGCCCATCAGAGCTGTTGATGGGGAGGGATTTACCTGCAACATGAGGGAAAAATTTACTACCAGGCTCACATAGTCAACTAAATCTTAAAAGAAATAACCAAGTTAAATAACAAAGCATTGCTAAGCCAATCTAAATTACGTTTATTAATAAGCAGATAAAATAATTTTAGAACTGTACCGATCATATTGATAAAAATAAGCCAATAACTAAACAGACATGAAAATTGCAGAATAAAAATATGTAAAAATAACCATTTAAAAATATGCATACTTGTTGTTTCTTTTTTGATTGATGTATAGTAAACAATGCTCTTTATGTTTGATTATTCAAGCCTTTAATTGTGATTGTTAAAACAAAACAAATTCTTTCACTAGCCAATATTATTGCATCTATGAAGCCAATCTTAGATTGCCTGAAAAAATCTGTCCATAAGGGATTATTTCTGTATCTTTGTTTTGTTAGGGAGTTGAAATATAATGGCATGTTCCTAAAGTGATACTTCTGTCACAACCCATTCTTCTATTCTCCTTATGAGTTTAATTATGGGTGTGAAAAACAATAATTAACTTATGAAGTAAGTTTACAAGAAGTAGACTAGCCGGGCTTGGTAAGGTGGGTGTGTGTGGTTTGGATGATAAGAGTTTATCAATAATTAACTAATGAAATAAGTTTTCAAGCCTAGCTGAGCTCGATAAATGGGTTGGATGATAGGGCTTATCAATAATTAACTAACGAAATAAGTTTTCAAGAACTCACCCCAGTAGGAAGCCTAGCTGAGTTTGATAAATGGGTTAGATGATAGGATTTATCAATAATTAGCTAACAAAGTAAGTTTTCAAGAACTCACCCCAGTAGGAAGTCTAGCAGAGCTTGATAAATGGGTTAAATGATAGGGTTTATCAATAATTAACTAATGAAATAAGTTTTCAAGAACTCACCCCAGTAGGAAGCCTAGCTGAGTTTGATAAATGGGTTAGATGATAGGATTTATCAATAATTAGCTAACAAAGTAAGTTTTCAAGAACTCACCCCAGTAGGAAGTCTAGCAGAGCTTGATAAATGGGTTAAATGATAGGGTTTATCAATAATTAACTAATGAAATAAGTTTTCAAGCCTAGCTGAGCTTGATAAATGGGTTAGATGATAGGGTTTATCAATAATTAACTAACGAAATAAGTTTTCAAGAACTTACCCCAGTAGGAAGCCTAGCTGAGCTTGATAAATGGGTTGGATGATAGGGTTTATCAATAATTAACTAACAAAGTAAGCTTACAAGAACTTACCCCAGTAGGAAGCCTAGCAGAGCTGGGTGAGGCGGGCGTGTGTGGGTTGGAGGGTGGGGTCATTGGGCTGTGGAACCTGAAGGTGTCGGTCCGGGACTGGGTCTGCACGGGTCTGGGCAGGGGGGAGCCGGTGCTGGGCTGGTGCGAGATGAACATCTCTGTGGGGTCAATGGAGTAGGGGGAGGGTGGGTTGTCATCAGCTGTGGCAGACTGGCGGCGGCCCAGACCCACGGTGACCCCTTCGTCCACAAACATTGACAAGAAGGCCTAAAAAACAATAGGAAATAAATATTAAGATATATAAAACAATATGAAATAAATATTAAAATATATATAATAATATGAAATAAATATTATAATATATAAAACAATATGAAATAAATATTATAATATATAAAACAATATGAAATAAATATTATAATATATAAAACAATATGAAATAAATATTAAAATATATAAAACAATATGAAATAAATATTAAGATATATAAAACAATATGAAATAAATATTATAATATATAAAACAATATGAAATAAATATTAAAATATATAAAACAATATGAAATAAATATTAAAATATATAAACAATATGAAATAAATATTAAAATATATAAAACAATATGAAATAAATATTAAAATATATAAAACAATATGAAATAAATATTATAATATATAAAACAATATGAAATAAATATTAAAATATATAAAACAATATGAAATAAATATTATAATATATAAAACAATATGAAATAAATATAAAAATATATAAAACAATATAAAATAAATATTAAAATATATAAAACAATATGAAATAAATATTAAAATATATAAAACAATATGAAATTAATATTAAAATATATAAAACAATATGAAATAAATATTAAAATATTTAAATCAATATGAAAAAGTATTAAAAAAATATATAAAATAATTGAATAGGCAGTTTTTAATCAGGTACTCAATAAGGATAGTGATGCACACTAGTACTGTAAATATTAAAATATTTAAAACAATATGAAATAAATATTAAAATATATAAAAAAATATGAAAAAGTATTAAAATATTTAAAACAATTGAATAGGTACAGTTTTTAATCAGGGACTCAATAAGATAGTGATGCAGACTAGTACTGTAAGAACCACTGAGATTATTGATTTTAATAACAATGCTTTATTTATTATCCTAATTTATAAAAGGCCATGTGCGCTCTTCTCTCTCTCTCTCTCTTTCTCTGTCCGCAAAAAATTTTCGCCGGACATCACGTCAGAATCGGCAGCGGTATATGGAGAACTTTTTACGGACTTTTGTTGAAAATAATATGTTAGATGTTTTAAATGTATAACCACAATTTTACTTAAAGAAGAAAAATAAAAATTAAAGGCGTATTCGAATGTAGAGAAACAGTATTATTTATGCAACCGGAAAAGCATTAATAGATGTGAAAAAGAACGCATAAAACTGTGACGTCACTATTGCTTATACATTAACTAATGACGTCATCTGCCGTGTTTAGAACGAAAAGAAATGAACTATTTCATTCAAATTTGATTTAGATCTACGTACACTATGAAATGTATACAATACAATTTTTCCGGCCTAAACTCATAAAATTTATTTTATGTATTTGGATTCTAGATCTAGAGATTCTAGATCTAGACTAAATCTAAATCTAAATCTACGCAATAACTAGATCTAGACGTAGACGCTAAGATCTAGATTTACTGATTTAGACTCTAACTTCTCTAAAATCAATTCCAAAAATAAATTTCTATACTAGGACTAAACTATTTCAAGACTTATTTATTTTATACAAAATCTTTGTTTGGAACTGGCTAATTTGGGATAAAAAAATTAATTTGAAAAATAGGCATATTCGCGTAAGTTAAGATTTTAAAATACGTGTTTCATTCTCCGTACTTTATAAGGTGCCTAAATAGCGGAGATGTTAGTGTACATTAAACCACGCAGGTGGTGCGGGTTCGAGACACACCAAGTCAACTTGGTTAATGTATTTTTTTTTATTATGCTCGGGCTAAACTTAAAAAAAAATTCTTTTAGGAATCTAGATCTAGATCTAGATTGTCGGGTGTCCGGCACTTCCCGGCGCCGCAGGCGCTTCAAATTTGGCAGGACCTTGCCTTGGGGCGACAGAACACGGGGGCCGGTTGGCCGAAAAGTCTACGATGAGGGGGTCAAAACTGACATCGACTGACCGGTACCTTATATGAGCTATAAATTTTTAAAAAATGTCCACGGAGGAACCTCTTCATAACTCTTGAGGTCGTAGACCGACCCTCGGGCGAATTAATTAAGCATTCAAATTCTCAATGTTTTCGAAAGCCTAAGCGAAGCTGGGCAGCATGCCTAGTTAATATATAAATAATAAGTGAAATTCAATTATAAAATTTTTTTTACACATTTAAAAAACACATAAGTATAATAAATATAAAAGAAGTTATTCAAAATGATTATATTTGTTTTTCAAATTCCTAAACTGTGTGTGCCTGTATATGCATCTATTTGCCTTGTTAATAGGACAAAGAACTTAACAAATCTATTGTTGTTTTTTATTTTGTTATTATTGGAAAAATTGTAACAAATCTTTGAATTGCTTCTTACAAAAACAAATCACAAATGTAGTGTAGACCAATGTATAAAATCTGTTGCGTTCTCCTTAATTAGAGATAAAAATGATGAAGAGAATCTAAAACAATCCCCTAAAAATTTACCTTAAGACCTGCAGTGGGAGATAACCCTTCTATTGGTTTGGTTGTATCAAACAAACTGCAGGCGCCATCTTTCACTGCTACAGTCTTGTTGCCACGGAAATGGACATCTATACAGTTGCTGGAAGAAGTAATCACATTAGTAGGAATGTTGGAGACATTTTAAAAAACCTGTGTTAGCAGCTTAAAAAAACAACCAAGAGAAATAATGCTGGTTTATTTTACTGGCCACACAGCTTTTGTGTAGGTAACTGCCACACTGGGACGGAGTGGTCTAGCGGTAGACAGCTGGACTGCTAACCCGTGTGTCTCAAGTTTGAATCCAGGTTCAAGTCAGTAGACCGTCCCTGAGTCCAACCAACTCTGATGGGTACCTAACTCACGTTAGGGAAAGTAAATGCGGCTGGGCATAGTGCTGACCACACTATCTCTTCATATGCCGAGGTCACAGATACAAGTGAACTCTACTTCACTTGCCCCATAGACTGTCAGGTTTGAAAGGGAAACTTTTTTTTTTTCACTGCCACAATAAATATATCTCTTCATTGTAACAAGATTGAAAGTGTGACTTACCTTCCCCTACATATAATCCTGATATGTGTACTAGACTGGGGGATGATGGTGAAGTTTTGAATATGCTGTCTTGAGTTCTGTGATATAATTATTATATTCATCAGAAATATTCACATCAAATAAGCACTTTACACATTTCATAATAATTTGATCAGTTCAATTGAAATAACTTTTTAATATATTCATTTTAATTGTAAAAAATAGTAGTTTTATGTTATGCTATATTAAATAACCTCATTATTACAGTTGTTTTTTTAAGTCTCACTGTAAGTGTGTGTGTGTAGATTCAGGTTTTCTTTCAGAGAACTTGCTCTAAGTGGAGGGGATATGAAAGTTACGAGGGGGGGGGGGGGATGGGTAGGGGTCAGACAGCTATTTAATTTTAACATTTTTTCTATTTTAGCTGAGGTGCGTTAGACATGCTTTACGGGTTGCATTCCCAAGAGTTGCTTGAAGAAACACTGTGGGTTTGTGATCAAATCTAGTAGCTAATTTTGACATATTTATAACAGAATGATAACAGGTTTGTGATTATATCTAAAGAAAGGTAAGTTGCTTCGTTTTAATATAATAAAAGATTATTATATAAGATCTTTATTTACATATTTTATCAGTGTAGGGCCTACATAAATAGTTACACTTCTGTTTAGAATTTATTTTTACTTTTTAACTTGTGTTGAAAAAGGATATTTTTAAAAAAGTTGCCAGTATTTTGAGACTGCAGATTCAAGATTTCATTTTAACTATGCTTTAAAAAACTCACAGTTGAAGCACCAAGAACAGCCACAGATGGAAGTTTAGAAATAGACATCATAGGAGTCCATGTATCATGAAGTGTCTACAAATTGACAAAGCAGCTTTAATTAAAAACAAAGTCTACAACAGTTTTACTATGTAACTTTAGTTTAAATGTTTTCAAATAAAACAATGTACACTAGCTAACAAAAGATAACCTAGGAAATAATTTTTTAAAAATAAAACAATGTACACTAACTAACAAAAGATAACCTAGGAAATACTTTTTTTAAATAAAACAATATACATGATAATTAAAAGATCACCAAGGAGATAAATGTTTAATATTAAAAAAAGAAAATAGCTAACAAAAAAATCGCGGAGGAGAGAAATAGTTTAAAATAAATCAATGTACACCAGCTAAAAAGAGTTAACCTAGGGTATAAAGGTTTATGATGCTCTACCTGACTGAGCTGAGACAAGCTACAGTGGAGGTTGAACTCCTCAATGAGCTGCAGCAAGATGGGGGAGTGGGGGTTGGCAGAGGCTGAGGGCAGTCTGGTACCCAGGGTCAGCTCAAACTTCCTGGTGGTGGGCTTCCATCTGACTCCCAGCTGGTTGAAGAAACATCGTAATAAAATGATACAGTGAGTAGCACAAGCGAACCTCACAAACAACAGATACAGTGAGTAGAACAACAAGCAAACATCTATGTCAAATGATACAGTGAGTTGTATGACATGCAAACATCATTAACAACTGATAGAGTGAGTAGTAGGACATGCAAACATCATTAACAACTGATAGAGTGAGTAGTAGGACATGCAAACATCAATAACAACTGATAGAGTGAGTAGTAGGACATGCAAACATCAATAACAACTGATAGAGTGAGTAGTAGGACATGCAAACATCAATAACAACTGATAGAGTGAGTAGTAGGACATGAAAACATCACAAACAACTGATACAGTTAGTAGAACAACACGCAAACATCACAAACAACTGATACAGTGAGTAGAACAACAAGCAAACATCACAAACAACTGATACAGTGACTACTATATTATGCATGATCAGAAAAATACATATACTAACAGTAGGACTATCGTCCAGGGATATTAAACCCTTTAAATATGGCTTTGCATAAGTGAGAAATTTTTTTTTTCAAAAGTAGCGTCCTGATATTATCATCTAGAACAGGACATGATCTAATGAGCTAGCGTTATTGATTACTTACCAAGCTACACATGTTTGGGCCATAGGCCAGTGTGAGTTTCTTGTAGTTGTAAGACTGAACCTCAACCATTGTTGAAAGACTAGTCCGTGGATCTTTACAAAAAATGTTATATAAAAACAAAGATCAATATTTCAAAATTACTTAAAAAATATATTTTACAATTATCTTTAAATTAAAAAAAAAATTGTCAAAATTACTTAAAAAATATATTTTACAATTATCTTTAAATTAAAAAAAAATGTTTCAAAATTTTACTTAAAAAATATATTTTACAATCATCTTTAAATTTAAATTTTTTTTTTCAAAATGACTTAAAAAATATATTTTACAATTATCTTTAAACATTAAAAAAAGGTTACGAGGTGGCATGGTTGGGCGGTAGAGCAAACAACTGCTAATCATAAAATCTTAAGTTCGGATCCTTGATTTGAATCTGTAGGACCACCATTGAGTTCACCCAGCTCTGATGGATACCTGACTCATATTAGGAAATGTACATTTGGTTAAGCAAAAACCTGACCACACTTTGTGTGCCATGGTCAGAGACGAACTGTATTTCACTTCAATTAATTATCATTTATGTGACCTCTGCGTATGAAGGGGTGGTGCTGTCAATTCTATGTCAAACCCCTTTTACATAAATAGACTTAAGTGAAGTACCATCAGACCAGGGTGGACAGAGAATCCTATGAACACTAACCCAACTTAGTTTTAGATCTATTTATCCTCTGAAAATGGTACTTTAAAAAAAATATGAACCAAAAAAAGGTAGGAGAATCTCACCATTAAAACTTTCAGCAAACCTCTGAACAGCCCCGTACAAATATGCTATAGATGTCCACTCATCCATGAGGTCAGAGACAGTTTTCTGGATGTTGTCACCATTCATATCCAGGGCCATACACACTCTTTGATTGGGACCTATACCACACAATATCAAAACAATAAAAACTGTTGTCACCATTCATATCTAGCGCCATACACACTCTTTGATTGGGACCTATACCACACAATATCAAAACAATAAAAACTGTTGTCACCATTCATATCCAGGGCCATACACACTCTTTGATTGGGTCCTATACCACACAATATCAAACCAATAAAAACTGTTGTCACCATTCATATCCAGCGCCATACACACTCTTTGATTGGGACCTATACCACACAATATCAAAACAATAAAAACTGTTGTCACCATTCATATCCAGCGCCATACACACTCTTTGATTGGGACCTATACCACACAATATCAAAACAATAAAAACTGTTGTCACCATTCATATCCAGCGCCATACACACTCTTTGATTGGGACCTATACCACACAATATCAAAACAATAAAAACTGTTGTCACCATTCATATCCAGCGCCATACACACTCTTTGATTGGGACCTATACCACACAATATCAAAACAATAAAAACTGTTGTCACCATTCATATCCAGGGCTATACACACTCTTTGATTGGGACCTATACCAAACAATATCAAAACAATAAAAACTGTTGTCACCATTCATATCCAGCGCCATACACACTCTTTGATTGGGACCTATACCACACAATATCAAAACAATAAAAACTGTTGTCACCATTCATATCTAGCGCCATACACACTCTTTGATTGGGACCTATACCACACAATATCAAAACAATAAAAACTGTTGTCACCATTCATATCCAGCGCCATACACACTCTTTGATTGGGACCTATACCACACAATATCAAAACAATAAAAACTGTTGTCACCATTCATATCCAGCACCATACACACTCTTTGATTGGGACCTATACCATACAATATCAAAACAATAAAAACTGTTGTCACCATTCATATCCAGCGCCATACACACTCTTTGATTGGGACCTATACCACACAATATCAAAACAATAAAAACTGTTGTCACCATTCATATCCAGCGCCATACACACTCTTTGATTGGGACCTATACCACACAATATCAAAACAATAAAAACAATAATCCAAGAAAATTACAAAATTATACTCAGGATAAACAGATTTAGTGTTCTAAATAAAATATCCTCTCATTACAAAGAAGAAAAACTCACCAGATTCTTTAGCGTGAATACTAGGAAGAGGGGGCCTGTTGAAAATAAACTGAAAGAAAAAAAAAAGATTTTAAAGCCTTGAAAACTTGGGTATAAAGTCTCAAATGTCAAAGTATTAATTGTCATACTTAATCAATATTACAGACTTGAGTTATAGAATGTCCCTGAGCCCACCTATCTCTGATGGGTTACTTGACAGTTAGGGAAAGAAAAGGTAGCTGGGCAAAGAGCTGACTACACTAACTCTTTATATGCTAAGGTCACAAAAACAGGTAAATGCTACTTCGTCTGCCACATGGACCGTCAAAGTTACTTTTGTCATTTTTATCATTGTCAGATGTTAAAGTTGCTTATGTCAAAGTTTTAGATATTATTGGTACACACCTATATCTTTGTTAACTTCCATAATCAATTAGTAAAGTGAAAAAACAGCATAAAAAACATACCTCAACAATCCAGAGCCGAGACTGTCTGTTCTGTATTCTAAATTTACACTGCAGTAGTTGTTTTCTCAGTCCATCGTTGACTTCCTCAGGTAGACCCATCACTTCTGGGAAACTAAGTAAACAGGTCACAGCATGTCAACAAAGCAATTTTTTTAAGCCAAGATTTTAAGACCATCGATTGAGAACAATATTTAATGATAGTTTTTATTTTAATGAAGCATAGCCGATAAACTAATTAACAATAACAAGTTACACTGGCCTAAAATTCTTTTATTTTATCCTTATCAGTTATTAAATATATATTTATTCAAACAAATTTTTTGTTCTTTTTTTTTCCACATACAATTCAAACAAAACAAATTCTTACTATAAAATGCCTAAAGAGAAACAGGTGCCTGTCCCATCAATGGTGCCACCATCATGGCTGATGCCTTGCTTGGACAACTGGAAAATAAAAGTTACAAAAAAAGTTTAGATCAACTTCTTCAGCCCTGAACTGTTTTAACTTTATGCAAGAGCTTTTTAATATTTTTTTTTACCCATATATACCCACAATTTAAAAAATTGATAAAGATGTAAACATTATAACACTATTGTGAATAGCAAATGCAGTAATTTTATAATAAATTTGAAATGTAATTTATATTTGGTTTAAGCCTTAATAATGCCAAAGAAACTAATATCTAAAAAAAAAATTGAAACATTTAAAAAAAAGGCTACAAGATGCCAAATCTGTTGAAGCTTATACCAGGGTCCATAGCCAAATCCCAAAAGAAAATTCAAGGCTTTTTCAAGGTTTTCAAGGTGATTTTGGGGGGAATTTCAAGGTATAAACTACCACTAACGGGCATTACAATGAGGGTGATGTATGTTTTTTGCACACACAATTTTTGAAATAATTTTGGTGTTATTACAAAATTATCTAAGTCAGGAGATTGTCTGAGAGTCCAGCATAATCCCTTTTGCAATCAGTATCTTTGGTGTCAAATGACACTCCTCCAACTTCAATTTTCAGAAAAACCTCTTTCAACACTGGCTTGACCATGTGACAGAAGCAATAGATGTCTAACAATTTTCCAAATGTTCACATAAGAAATTTTGCTACCAAGCTGTTCTATGAAAAAAATGTCCAGCCTATCATGTTCTCAATTAGATTTAGATTGTTAACCATTTAGAGTACATGTATCTATGAATGTTGAAAATTGAAACAGAACTTGGTCACACTCAGCTGATTTCAGTTTCCATTTGTTGACTAGGATGTGAAGAATTCCCTTCATTTTTTTGGTGAACTGGCTCTATTTTTAAACATTTGCATTAGGCTAAGTCTCTCACTAATGACTAAAGTAATGGAGATTTCAACAAAAAATTTGATGAAAATCCTATCAAAGTTGTCTTACAATCAGATTTGAAATTGAGAATTTGAAGCTCACTTGCTTTGTTTATTTTTTCTAGAGACTTTATTAGAGAGTCAGCAACAAACCCAACTTCAATTGAATGACTTGTCAATGTCAAGTGATAATCAGAATCAGGTCATTATACATAAAAGGAAGCATTGGTTTGTCTGTCTGATAGTCCTTTAAAAAGGACTCTGCACACATATTCCTTTAAAAAGGACTCTGGACACATATAGAAACAAAAAAAAACCTAGCTATGCTTGTAGAAATTATCCTGCTTAATGTCATAAATGACCTCACGCTTTTTAAAAGATTATTACCTCTCCCCCCCCCCCCTCCGCCACACATCACAAAAAGCCAGGCCCCGCCCTCTAAAATGACGTCACACCTCAGCCTATAACCCCTCCCACCCCCCCCCCCCCTTGATTGCAGTTCAATTTTTCTTAAAATAGGATTTTTTTCCCAAAATCTTGTCTGAACTCTGTCAAAATAGAGTATTTTAATTAATTCCTTTTACAATTTATTAAAACAGTTTTTTAAAATGCTAAAATTCGTTTTCTAACATTGCTTTTTAATAATGCAAAAGTGTGATGTCAAACGATCTGACCCCCCCCCCCCCCATCCCCTCATCACACACCGTCACACGATTACGGATCCCCCCTCCCCTACGAGTGTGACCTAATTTATGGACGACCCCCAATGTCCCCACCTATGATATACATGATGACGTAAAGAAATATCGTGGAAGTTTTAAGTTAGTTCATATCGCGGAATAACAGAATTAAGTTGTTTTTTTTAAACAATTTCACAAGTAACTACGCTAGTAATACTCATGTCAGAGATGTAGCCGCCCGACAAAGTGAAAAGCGGATTTTTTTTTACAAGCGGATGGGAGGGGGCAGTGACAGCGGCAATTTTCTCAAACACGGTAATTCGAGGCTTCTTAAACATTTCAAGGACGTTTTACCACAGTAAAAATCAATTAGATTTAGACCCTGCTAGATGGTGTAACTAAATTATAGCAGACCTACATATTTTGTTCAATGACCTAAAACGATGCAGATCTAGTTTTTGTTTTTGCTTAAATCTAGCAGTAAGCCCAATATTAAAGATAACCACGTTAAAATTAGATAAACAGCGTTTGTAGAACTGCCTTGACCGTGAGACACTACTGTGCTCGCGCGTGGTCTCGTGTCGTAGGTCTTACGGTCAGCGCGACCTTGAAGTGAGAGGTGGTAAAAAGTGTCCGTAAAGTTGAGTGAAAAAAGCACAGTCATAGTCCTTCAAATTATTTTTCTTTTCTTTTGATAAATGCAAATATTTTTTTTACGTCGGCGCAAAATCTTTCCTTTTTTTAAGAAGACAATCGGTGATGCTAATGAGCTGGTAATGTTAGGATTTAGTTTTTTTTTTAATTACACAGCCTAGCGGTAGCCCATTGATGACGTCACGTAATTAATGCGAATTTTACCCCAACCTCTATCGTCATAAATAACCAGACAGCCACGTCAAGAATGACATCAAAAAGTTCTGTCTACAGCCTCACCCATCTCATACAGTCAATGAGTATTTGGTCCATAGCGCACGTGAGATTGACAATTACGTCATTTGCTATTGGTTTTTTTAACGAACGTGATAAATATGCCTATTGGTATTAGGAAATCTTGTTGGTTAATAGTTAAAAATCTAGATCTAGATCCACGACTATATTAATTATTAATATACTGCGAGGTCACTGTAAGTTGAGATAGACCTAGAAGACCTTCTAAGGTCGCAGTGACCGAAACATCTGCTATCGTGGGGTACACAAAGAACCGTGATTGATCTAGGTTCGTAAAAACGTGTCTTCTCGCACATCTAAAATAACAGAACACAATAATTCGATAAATTATATCTCGCTATTTACCCGTAATTCCGCAGCTACGTTTCGCCCTTTTGTGTTTTACCCACACCGAGAAAATTTAAATTTAAATAAATAGAAACCTACGCTCGCATAGTTCAGGCTATTCTTTTTTTATTTAAACCTAAGGCTTATTTTCTTGAAGAAAAAATATTAGTTCTAGATGTAGGTTTAATTATAATCGAGATAATTTCCATGCGCGACCAGCATTTTAATGATTTAGTTAGGCCACATTCCATCTTTTTTTCTTTACGGACATCACCGATCAGGAGACAACAGACCACTCGCGGGGTCAATTAAGTTCACAATATAAATAGAGCCAACGACTGCCGAGATATTGTCGGGAAGGGATTTGGGGGGGGGGGTTTCGATTGTTATGATTGAAGATGTTTGAAACCATAGAACCGCATAACACGGAAATTTAACACAAGAGAAAAAAAAGGTCGACACTAAATCGATTTTGATGTTTACTGTAGGCTTTTGCGTAACATTTGCGGCCTAATTCCGCAACAGGGGTGTCAAAATCGAAAAATTACGGACAAATCCGTACAAGTAGGTAGGCCCTAACAGAAAACAATGAATCTAGATCTAGAATCTAGTAACTCAGTCGTAAACGGAGATATCCGAAAAACGATGCTAAATTTAGCCCTCGGCTACCGTTTACGTCACGATCTAGAATCTAGGTTAGGAAGAGCCTATGCAAAACTGGTCAGGTCATACCGCGAGGCTCAGCGAAGGAGAGGGTTGGAAGTTAACGCAGACCCACGGCAAAAAAAAAAAGCCAGAAAAAATTTAGATCCATCAGAATTGAATTTTTTTTTTAAATTCGATTTGCGCACGGTTTTCAGGGTTTACCTATAAAATTCAAGGGGTTTTGCTCATTTTTGGGGAAATTCAAGGGTTTTTCAAGGCCTTGAGATGTTTTTTGGAATTCAAGGGTTTTTCAAGGATTCAAGGTCCGCTACGGACCCTGTTATACAACACACTGAGCTGTTGTCATATTTTTCAAAGCCTCACCTCATCACCCAGGAAGATAAAGGGCATCTTCTCCTCACACCTGGCCAGAAGGTAAGCCAACTCACTCACAAAGTATGGTGAACCTTTCATTTTCTTGGCATCTGGTTCATCATCATCTTCTCCCAAAAATATCTGGTACAAATGTGTGGATGTAAGAAGCTTATGAACAAAACTACATACATTAAAATAACAAAGAAAAGTAAATAAAAGCTTGTAATGAATGGAACCTGGTTCAGTTGTTCTCAAATTGGACTCTGGGGGTAACCACTAAAGTGCTCATTATTAGTCATTAAACCTTTATTCAGTTTTAAATATACATATATCTAAATCATAAAATGAACACTATTGATTATTCCTCCATTTAAAAAAAAAATTTAAAATGGTTTAAGGGATAACAAAAAAGGCAAGGGACTTTAAGATGGGTTTAAAAATATTTAGATAATAGATTATGAACTATTTAATTATCAATTCCATTCTATTAAAAAAAAATACAACTACACAAATGGACTTAGTTTTCTGAGACTCACTTTGCGTTTTCTGGTCAGGCTGTCCATTGTGAGTGGAATACCATCTGAAAACAACAAATCTATCTTAAAAACGTCTATGAAATAAATAATTTTTATTTGATGCAAACCATGTATGATAATGTGTAACCACCAGATGAAGGACTGATGCTACACAGCTTGAAAATCTAAAATCAGGCTATCTGGATGGTCTATAGAACATCACTGAGTCCACCCAGCTCTTGTTGGTACCTGGCTCAAGTCTATATGACAGATTCCACCCAGCTCTGGTGGGTACCTGACTGAAGTCTATAGAACAGAATCCACCCAGCTCTGGTGGGTACCTGACTGGTCTATAGAACAGAATCCACCCAGCTCTGTTGGGAGTATCATTCAGGTAATTAAGGAACAATAAATCTAGCTGATAAGATCGCTTATCACACAACCTCTTCATGTGCCTATGACACAGAAACAAATCTTATTTCATCCAGACAAAAAAAAAACATCTAATTTATCTCAACTAGATCAGCAAATAAACAACAAGTACCAAAAATTTTGCAGAACTCTCCATGCGCCATAGAGTAAGTATCAATAGGGGTCAGCTGACCAGCCTTCATGAAAGCCTTGACCAGCGTCTCCTCCCCGATGTCATCCTCCACCCCATCGGCAGTGCACTGTGTCGTCTCCAGCATGTAGTAGTTGACATCCACCCTGCGCTGCTCAGCCTCACGCACTTCAACAACCTGCGGAGAGTTTCAACATCTTCTAACATCTGACCAACTAGCAACTGGGTTTACTAGGTTGTCACTGAGTTCAGTTTTAATGGGGGAAAGAAGGGACATAACTTTTATTACTGTCTGAATAAAAGGGACAACTTTTACTACTGTCTGAATAAAAGGGACATAACTTTTATTACTGTCTCAATAAAAGGGACATAACTTTTATTACTACCTGAATATAAGGGACATAGCTTTTATTACTACCTGAATAAAAGGGACATAGCTTTTATTACTGCCTGAATAAAAGGGGCATAACTTTTTTCTGTCTGAATAAAAGGGACATAACTTTTATTACTACCTGAATATAAGGGACATAGCTTTTATTACTACCTGAATAAAAGGGACATAGCTTTTATTACTGCCTGAATAAAAGGGGCATAACTTTTTTCTGTCTGAATAAAAGAGACATAGCTAGATATACAAGGATGCCACTGAGTTCACCCAGCTTTAATGTGGCAATATTTTCTATCAGTCTGATAGGAGATTGGGTAAATGCTCCTTAGAAATCAAGGTGCTAGGCCTGGGCAACAATGTGAGAAGAGCCAGATGTTGCCCATGTGTAGGGTCACCTCTCTCCACCCCACAGAGCTTAAGTACCCAAAGGGGATGCATTACATATACAACTTGGCTTCAGCTGTGTGGCCTAAGGGGCTCTACTCCTGTTTCATTTTTGAGTTTCCTCTCCTATCTGGGTTACAGCCCTCTGCTAATGAGCCTCATCTGCCTGGAGGCTCATGTTAGCCACTATGTGCTTTTATAGGGACATTAACCTAATCTGATGAGAAGGGGCACAACTTTTCTAACTATATGAGGAAATGGGACATAGCATTTAGCACTATACTATCTGGTAAAATGAGATTTAACTTTTAGTACTATCTGGTAAAAAGGGATAGAACTTTATTACTATCTGATAAATGTTTAAAATGGGGATAACTTCTGTTTCTATCTGAGAAAATGGACATGAGTTTTATTACTAATTGATGAATGATGAAAATGGACATGACTTTTATTACTAACTGATGAATGATGAAAATGGACATGACTTTTATTACTAACTGATGAATGATAAAAATGGACATGACTTTTATTACTAACTGATGAATGATGAAAATGGACATGACTTTTATTACTAACTGATGAATGATAAAAATGGACATGACTTTTATTACTAACTGATGAATGATGAAAATGGACATGACTTTTATTACTAACTGATGAGTGACGAAAATGGACATGACTTTTATTACTAACTGATGAATGATAAAAATGGACATGACTTTTATTACTAACTGATGAATGATGAAAATGGACATGACTTTTATTACTAACTGATGAGTGACGAAAATGGACATGACTTTTATTACTAACTGATGAATGGTGAAAATGGACATAACTTTTATTACTATCTGATGAAAATGGGCAGGAATAACTTACAACAAAGTACCCTTGCTGCTTAGGTACCCTAACGAAGAGCCTTGTGCTTGCTAGTTTAATGAGAGGGTGGTCAGCTGTGTTGATGAGAGGGAGAGATGGCCGAGAGTTGGCGGTCATCAGCTGTACACACTTCTCACATCTCTGGAGCACCAGCTGGACCCTGGGGAAACAGAAAACAATTTGTACAGTTGACCATCATGGGTGGTTGAACCCCAAGCACTGTGTGGTGTGGTCGCCAACAGAGACTGAACCACTGAACCAACATCAGACCTGGGATCCACACTACCATCTCCTTGGTGGTTGATGCTTGTTGGTTTAATCAGTAGTTTGAATCACCATCAAATTATGTGATTCACCCTACCATCACCTTGGTGGTTGAACAAAGACTACCAACATGTTGGTTCAATCACCACCAGTAACCACCATCAAATTATGTGATTCACCCGACCATCACCTTGGTGGTTGAACTAAGACTACCAACATGTTGGTTCAACCGCCACCAGTAGCTTGAACCACCACCAAATTATGTGATTCACCCCACCATCACCTTAGTGGTTGAACAAAGACTACCAACATGTTGGTTCAACCACCACCAGTAGCCTGAACCACCATCAAATTATGTGATTCACCACACCATCACCTTGGTGATTGAACAAAGACTACCAACATGTTGGTTCAATCATCACCAGTAACCACCATCAAATTTTGTGATTCACCCCACCATCACCTTGGTGGTTGAACTAAGACTACCAACATGTTGGTTCAACCGCCACCAGTAGCTTGAACCACCACCAAATTATGTGATTCACACCACCATCACCTTGGTGGTTGAACAAAGACTACCAACATGTTGGTTCAACCACCACCAGTAGCCTGAACCACCACCAAATTATGTGATTTACACCACCATCACCTTGGTTGTTGAGTGACAACCACCAACATGTTGGTTCAATCACCAACAGTAGACTGAACCACCACCAAATTATGTGATTCACACCACCATCACCTTGGTGGTTGAACAAAGACTACCAACATGTTGGTTCAACCACCACCAGTAGCCTGAACCACCACCAAATTATGTGATTCACACCACCATCACCTTGGTTGTTGAGCAACAACCACCAACTTGTTGGTTCAATCACCACCAGTAGAACAAACCACTGAACCACCACCAGACTTGGTGACTCACACTACCACCACAAAAATCAAACAGACAAGCAATAAATTATTTATAGACTAACTTTAGTTTCATGAGCAGTTTCTCCAGTCCTCTGTGATCAGTGTTCAAACTGTCCTCAATGCCTTGAACTGCTGCTCTGTCTAAAAAACAAAAACACCAAAAAATGTCAGACATAACTTCATCAGCATGGGAAAATAATTTATTTAAATCTTAAAATTTTCCCATATCCTAATTATAAAATTAACATTTTTAATCTGCATACAGAGTGTATCTTCAAATCTTTTTTTTTCTTAACCTGAAGCAAACAATGATCCAAGATATAAATTAAAAAGGCATTTTTTGCTCTTATAAAAACATGTTTAGGTAGTGTGGTATTATACAGTTTATTTTTCCGTCTGTCTCGCTGCCAGTGCTGTCGGTCATAGTATGGATTAGGTTCAGGATGGCTAGTAAGGGTAACTTTGGAAAATATTATCGAGGTCTCGCTTAAGATTAAGCAAGAGCAGCTTCTCTTAAAGAGCTTGAAAAATAAGGAAAAAACTTTTAACAATGTTTGAATAACTTGAATGAATGACTATGGGATGGTGTTGGTCAAGTGGTAGAGAATAGTACTGCTAACCCAAAATTATCGAGTTCGATTGCGGGTTTAAGCATATAACATCCTTGAGTCCACCAAGCTCTAATGGGTATCTGATTAATCTTAGAGAAAATAAAGGCGGTTGGACTGACCAAACTGTCCCTTCGGTCAAAGAAATAGATGAACTCTACTTCACTTGCCCCATGGATAGTCAGGTTCAAAAGGGAACTTGACTCAAACATATGAATGGCACAAGAGAATGACTAAGCCAGATAAACAAGTGACATAACTGGCCAAAACACTTTGTAACAGGCAGGCGACAATACTTACCGCAAGATGGCACCGAGGCCATGTATGATCCTGTCTGGACGTCGATAGAAATCCTCAAGACTTCCGAGGACATGCAGGGGTTCAACACACTGACATGCAGGGCAACAGGCATGTCCCTCACCTCACCTGTGTAGGTCAAAAAGTTTTTTCTTAACCCTTTTTTAAGGAAGGGGTTACTTGAGCAAGCATGTTTAAAAACCCAGCTAGAACAATTATTTTTAGCCTTGATAAAAGTTTTTTTTAAAGAATGTATGCTATAAAACAAGGCTGTGAATAGTTGTTCAAAATATAATTTTTCCTAACAACTTAGATGTTCAAATAAGCTACAAGAATATTTGCCAAGAATATTTGCAAATAAATACTAAACATATTAATTTAATCAAACACATACTTCAAAACAAGAGACTTACATTTTCCATCAATCAGTCTTTGAATTTCTCTAGCCAACTCCTGAAAAAATTATCAGAAAATGTTCTAAAACAATAGTCATATCATTTATGTTCTAGTAGTTGCACTAAAATAATTGTATTAAGTCGACTATTTAAAAAAGAAATCAACAATTATTATACCTTAAGCTTCGAGTGAGTTCTCACTTCAATTGTTTGCATCAATAACTTCTCAATTGATAGATGGTCACTCTGGAAATAAAAAATACAAAAATTAAATTATTAGAAATTCAACATAACTAAAAAAAATGTAAAATACTCATCTTAAGTGTAGTGATGTATATTATGTTAAAATGTGTTTTGTTTCACCTTAATGGCAAGTCCAACTTTTCTACTTTCTAATGGTGTCATGGGAGGTTGATGTGATATTTGTAAAGGTTTGCCTTCATCCTCCTCACAGACATGAACACTCAGCTTGTGGACTAAAACAAAGATAAACATCTAATGATTACATAAATGGACATTTTATTTTTAAAATATTTGGTGAACTCAGGGACATTCCATAAAGTCAATCTTTAAAAAATGTACTCACTAGGGAAATGGTCCACATTATCTCTTTTCTTCTGTTGTTCCCTGCAATAAATGTGAATATTATAATCTAACAAAAAGATTACCATGAAAACATCAATTTTATTATCTTTATTTTTGTCTATTACGCTAAGAAATTCATTTCTAGCCATCAAACTTACCTCCAGTAAGAAATAGACAGAGATTTACTCAGGGAATATTCTACGATGCAAATGCTATCTCTAAGTCTGTCTCCCATCAGACGCTGAGCCTAAAAAAAGATTCAATAAAAAATAAAATAATGGATACAAAATTTATTTTTAATAGCTTAATGAACACAATAATTAGTTTATATTTTAAATGTAATAAGAACAGATGTCTAAAAATTGGCTTGTAAACTAAATACTTTGAGTTAAAAGTTTTTAAAAAGAGTTATTTTATCTGTTTAACATGACCTGACCTGCGAGTGTAGCACCTCCAGCTGGAGTGACTGGCAAAAAGAATCTAAATTGGGTTAAGGTCATAGGTTTACAGGTAACAGACAAAATTAGCCTGGTGATGATTAATTAACAAACTTAAGTATATACCAGTATGTCAACAGTTTTAAAAAACCCTGGCCAAAAATTATGATCACCCAGTCAGTTTTGCACAATTTACAAGAACAAAATAGTTTAAAAAAAAAAAAAAACCGTGTAGTGTAAGCCTATAACATTTGAAAAAATATATAATTTACATAACTTAAATACTAATGAGGATTTACAAAAAAATGATGACATAAATTAAATGAACAGAACAAATTAGGCCTAAACTAATATTCTAGGTTTATAAACACAACTGGTGTTCCTTACAGTGATATTATGTAACCAAGCCACCTTCCATTTCACATCTGAAAATTACATGACATAACCAAGGGAATTAAAATAAAGTATGCATGAGTTAAGCCTTAGCTGTGCTCTGTGTTTGACCACTAGTGATTTAAACTTGCAACATGTTGCCATGTAAACTGACTTTCTTAATATTTTATTAAACAAACAAATCTGATAACCTTTCCTCTCACAACTTGTTAACAGTACAATGCACTATGTTAACATATCCGGTTGCTAAGACAAGTAAAGGATACGAAGCACTCTGTACAGGTCATGTAGTGGGTGGTCAACATGCAGCAACCTAGACTGCACTAGCTCATGAATGTAGTGAACCTAAGAAGATAAACAACCATTGTTACAGTATGTTATTCAAAAAATTTCCTTTCCAGTCAATGTTATATAGAAATATATTTTGTTACTATCCTCAAATCATCTTCTACAACTTATTGTGTAGAAAATACTCTTTCCTGTCAATATGTTATGGTGTGGATATATATAAATATATTTTGTTAGCACCAATAATAATAATTAAAAACCCTCTCATAAAACGTACTGTTTAAAAATTATTTTTTACTCAAGATGTACAGAAATATAATTTTAAACTTATTATTAAGAAAAAAAGCGGCACGCAATTATATCCTTAAGTAACACTTATATAACAACAATCTAAAATCCACTTACCTGCATGGAGTGTACTAAAGACTTCCCATCTGAAAAAAAAAATCATACAAAGATAATGTATTTCCATGAAAACAAACAGGAAATGCCTAATAAATTTTAAAAATGTAACAAAAGATCTCACTTCCTGTTTCATGGTCCTCAACAAGAAAGCTAACATCTAAAAGTCTCCATGGGATTGTCGGACTATCTCCCATCAGAGTCAATGTCACCTAAAATGGTAAATAAATGCGTATATGATAAGGAACTAACGTCAAACGGAAAAAATTATACGAGAAATATAAAAATCAAGAAATGGTTTATCTAGAAAAAAACACTGGTTTTTAAAAGACAATCAAACTAACCTCAAATTCTTGTTCAACAAAAAACTTAACCCTGCCTTGATCTGAAATAAATTTACATGACAAAAAAAGTTTGATTGAAATTAGTTCCTAGACATGTATAGTAGATACGTCACAAATGTTAAGACATTATAATGCATAAACAACAATTTTTCTACCTATCCAAATAATAAGTGATAACATTAACAAAGAGTAATCTACTAGACCACTACTGTAATCCAACAATTGACTGTAATTGAAAAGTTGCTTACCAATTTTTAACCTCCTCATCTGCTTTGGCAGCTCATTAGAGACCAGCCTGTACTGGATAACCTCATTCAAACGTTGCAGAGTTTGGACTTTCTCTTGAGGGGTGATCGGGTCCGGAGGAATGATTCTCTCCTGGTGAACATTGAAAACAGCAACATACATTTTATAATTCAAGTAGGCTCTAGATATTGGTCAAGGAAATCAAAATAAATAAATAAAATTTATTTTTTAATAGGCACAGACTGAAATGCTGGCATAAAAAGACAGATTTAAATTAAAGGAGAGCTCTTTTAATTTTGCTACATTTATTTTCTGTTCATCAGAATGCCAGTTTGCATTGTGACTTAAGTTAGTAGTGAGTGGATACAAAGGCACTTACAGGTTAGAAACATGTGCCCTACCTATTGACACCACAATTTCATCATAAATATTTGGGGAGAAAAATAATAGATAGATAGAGTGATTAGATGTGATTCTGTTACAAGCAATGTTATCACATATCAAGAAATAACAAAACCTACCCTAATACAGGCAGGGAGTCTGGGATAGGTTCCTGTTGTCAGCACATCAATAGCACATGGCAGGGAGAAACTTGGCACCCTATAGAAAAACAAAGAAATTTTAATTCTACTAAACCATGTAGGGGAAAGAGTATACATTTAAAACTATCTCTATTCTGGGTAAACTTTGTTTCTTTTTGTATTTTAAAAACTGCTCAACATTAAGGATATATTGTATATGCAATTATAAGTGGACATTTCTCAATTTCGCAGTAGTTCAAGCTAAAATTCTTATGTGACTTCAACAAAATAAAAATCAGTTTTAATTATTTAAATAAAAACTTACCTTGCACTGGCTAAAGTTTCTTTTGCCATTTTGTGTAAACTGTCAGCCGTCTCCACAAAAAACATTGATTGTTGCTCTAAAAAGCTGCAGATTTCCTGAAACAATGTTTAAAATGTATAGCTTTAACTACAGCATTTAAGAATGTGGGTGATACAAAATTATAATTTAATAATCTTATAGTGGAAAAGATGAAGTAGGCTTGGAAGAAGAAAAACAATATGCTTTCATTTTTTACTTTAAATCTTATTTGTATGCTGCATATGCAGTAGCATTCAGTGTATTGCTTTTATAAAAAATATATATATACATTTTGTAGATAAAATTATTGTAACAATTAACAAAAATTAATGAAAATTTAAAAACTGATAACCAGCAAAAAAGAATACAGGTGATAGTAAAAGATAAACATCAAAAGGTTAGAATATATAAATTCCTAAAATATTTTGTAATTACTTACCATGCACTTATCAACTTTAGATGCACTGTTGGCCCATTTTACTAGAGCCAGGAGTCTAATGAAAAGCTGACGAGTCCTGCTAGCGAACTGAAAAATCTCAATTTTTCTGGGAAAATATCAAGAATTCAGTTTTATTTGTTATGACAGATTAATCTTTATTTAATATAGATTTATCTATTTCAATTAAAAATTGAAAAAGAAAATAGTTTAACTAAAATTATATGAGATTTCTTAACATACCTGTCCATATCTGTCTTTCTTGGTAACCTGAAAATATTTAAATGACCTGGATTACTTTTACTTTTTCATTTCAATAAAAACTACTATGGAAACTATGGAAAGAAAATAATCACATGGTAAACTTGTTAGTAGTGTCATGCTAAAAGCTAAATACTATATAACTATTCATCAAAAAAAGGTCAGGAGAAAGACAGTATTTATATTGTGTTGACATTAATTGAAGATTTAGATCGGAGATGCATTTCTTAAATTAGTTAATTAACTAATTAAATATCGTAATGATAATAAAGGAGCTGGTTTGTTTTTTGTTTTGGTTAAGGCACAACACACAACATTGTGCTAGTGTAGTATGTGGCCTGATCAAGTGAAAGGAGATTATTTATTTAACTCAATACAACAAGCCTGTCGGCTGGTTGAGTTCAGGAGACGTTCTGTCTGGGATTCAAAGGGACGACTCGAAATATCATCCACTAAAATGCACTTTACAATACTATAATATAATAATAGCAGGGGTAAAAATAATTCAGCTACCTACCATTATTAGGCTTATTAGGCCTAAGCCCTAATTTTAAACTCAACACTAAAAAACCCACACAAACTTACAGTTCAGATAAGACAACAAGCTCATGGTGGGTACGCTGCACAGCATATTCAATCAATAGAGCCAGAGGAATCGTCCCACCAGAAGACATGGGTGCTTGGTTGCCACCCATCACCATACCACCCTGTGGTGTCATTTTCTGTTGCATTCACTTTCACTGTGTCTAAAATAAAATTTACAAACATTAGGCCTAGACCTAGAAAATTCTGTTAAAATTAAAAATATTCTGTTTTATATTGATTTGGCCAATTTATTTAAAATTTGATGTGCTGACAAGTGTGGTAGATCTAGTGTTTGCACACAGTATTAACAATTAAGTTAATTATTATTTACTAGGCCCTACAATGCCCAATTGTAGGAAAAAAAGCCACAGGAAAAACGTCACAAATAACTTTAAATAAGTATTTGTATGGAATTTAATACTTTAATGTATTAAATATTCAGAAAGTGCAAATCAACTTGCGATTCAAATGAAATGTAAAGATTTTAGATATTTTTGCGTATGTTGTATAGGTATGTATGACACATGTAAAAATATTTAGTATAAAGTATGAAGGTTTTTATTCCATTATACTCATATTTAATAGAATGTTCCAACTTTTTTGGTTTTCATCGTGTTTTTTAAATACTAAATTTAAATTAGTGTGAAATGGTGTAGTTAATGTGACTTGCTGTCCTCAACTCATAGCAACAATAGTTCAACCACCTTTTGTGCCCACATTTAACATGCTCATTACATAACAAAGCATGGGATCAAAACAGAAAGCCGACACAGTTCAAAGGCTGTCTTCGATGCGAAACCTCAACAACACACAATATGGACGGAGAAGCCAACCAAGGAAAGGCCTACGGCAAAAAAATGCAAAACACAATGATGTGCCTACATTTCTTTAATAATAAATTTTTCTACTGCGTATTCAACTAAATACATAACATAACAAAAATGGAGATTGCTGTGCAAAATATTTTTTAGTATTTTTACTTATTGTTACAATTATAAACCATAGACCAAATGGGCCTAATGCTTTTAACTTTAAAGTTTATGATTATGAATCATTATGCTACTAAAAATCAACACCCACAGCAATAAATACCGAAAATTTTACAATTGTCTACAATCAAATTAAAATATTTCTTATAAGATTTTTGTGCCCTTTTCCCGATAAAATCTTTTGGCGGCATAAGCGCGGTTCGTTCCACGTTATGCTAAATCTTTACTCTAGGTGGCACGCGATCTAAAAAATAGATATCAGGACTGTCTGATTTTTGTATTAATAATTTAATGTTGATATAGATCTAGATCTAGTTTAAGTGTTTTATTTCAACACCTAAGAATCTAGATCTAGTCTAGTAGTACTTATAAAAAAAAAACAGTACAGTGTCAGTAGTGGGTCAGATGATAGCAATCACGCCCGTGACAATGTTTGGAAATTTTATTTTAAAAATAGGGTGAATTTTAAAAACCAGAGTCCGATAATAGAATCTTCTTTAATAAAGGGGTGGACTGGTAGTGGTAGTTAACTAAATACTCACATGGCTGGCTAATGTCAGTGCTAAACCTGTCCCTAACCCCAACCCTAGTCCTACCATATGCCTAACCCTAATATCTAACAAATTAGTCGAGATTACTGTTACAATACTACTAACAACCCAACACACCTATTTTATGGAAGATTCTATTATCGGAAATGGGTATCTAAAATCATCCAAGAAAAAAAAATCACATGTTATGTTTTCAATATGAAAAAAATATAATGTAAAAAAGACACTAGTACTGGTCATGCTAACCCTGGGTTCGAACTCGGAGCGCAAGGTCTATGAACTACAACTGGCATACTGTTGACTCAACCAGTTGGAGAAAGGAAAAAGTAAACTTTTTCAATCATAACATGGCAAATCCAACCTGCGATGTGCGTAGTCACTTTGTTACGGGCCACGCTCTGCGAGACGCGTTGTCACTTCAAAATTTTTCCTTTGTGACTGTAACTTTTTTTACTAGACTAGCAAAGACTCAGGTGACTTTTTTTCTGTGTTTTTCTTCCTGTGACTTTTTTCCATTCACCTAGTGGCTAGTGGCCAATATTAAACTTTTGACATAAGTATTTCTTTAATCTCTACTAATCTCTAGGCCTAATCCGATAATCGCTTGGACTTTTTCTAGGCTATTTAGTAATTTACTAGATCTATTTGGTATTTATTTGGCAATATTTGGGCCTATCTATCATAGGGCCTATGTGAAAGTGATTTTTTTTTGTCAGCTGGAATAGATTTAGATCTAGAGATCTAGATCTAGATCTAAGTTTGGCCTACAATGTGAGTAACAAAGCTAACATGGCCAAGTTCAATGGCTTAATTAAATTAATGTAGATCTAATTACGGCTGAAAAAGTAAGTATAATACCACTGTTTTTATTATTATTGGAACATTAAAAATCCGCGGCCATTTTTAGAGTTCGGTCTTGGTTAGTTTTTAAGAGTTATCCCTTCATCAGTAGAATCAAAAACTAGAATCTATGATTTGTGATAGAAAAATCGAAATTGCTAGCTTAGATCGCTAGATTATAAGATCTATTGACTATTCTGTTACTAAGATCTATTTACTAGTTCTTGGATCTATTCTAGATCTAGGCCTAATATTTATTTATTTAAAATTAAGGCCTATTAAATAGGGACTAAATAAAATTAAATATAGATCTATGCCTGGAATAGTATTTTTCAATTTTTGAAATAACACACAATTCAGTAGTTTACTTTTTTTTTTTAGTTTACTAGTTAGGTCTAGATCTAGTAGTTAGGCATACAAATACAAACAAGTACAACATACAATATTCAATATACTATATAGCCTACGCCCTACATTCTAGATCTACATACGTTTTATAGTATTATTAAAGACTCACTGTAATTTGTATGCACTTGCATGATATTATAATTATAGAACAGAAATAAAAATTGATTGTAAAGGCTAAAGTTTAGGCCTACTAAACTTTACCTTTATAATCAATTTAATGGTATATTTTACTTTATACTCAAGTAGGCCTATACTGTTGTATTTAAAAAAAATAACATACACCCCCCATGCCTGAATACCAAGCTATTACTAGATCTAGTACTAAAGTACTAACTACTATTACTAACTTACTAACAAACAAATAATTAATTATCTGTTCAAGTAAGATCTATATTAACCTATTTATTTTACAATTTATTACTAAGTTATTTATATATTATTATATATTTACATACATTCTGTTTCTACAGAATATCTGGACCAGAGTGAAATTATGGACATGCTACTCGATTCAACCAATATGAACTGTATGGCTGCTAACAGTTAGCATTTCAAGTAATGGGCAACAAAGAGGTGTTGATCTGCAGCTTTTCTGCTGTATTATTTTGTATTGTTTTGAAAAATCTTAATCCACTGGAAAAGCATCAGGCAGAGCTTGCAGTGTGCATTGTCTCCAAGAGAGAAAATTTTGAGCATCGTAAAGCTATTCGAAAGTCCTGGCTCAGTTATGTTGGGCAAAGTGGGAAGAACGTTGTTGCTAAGTTTGTGGTAGGAAAGCTGCCATGCCCAGTCCATCCTCAGAACAAGATAGACCCTCATAGTTGTGACAGATGGGAACCCAAAGTTCCAGAAAATTCCTTAATTTCTCTTTTTAATTTAACTAAGGGAAACAATCCAAAAAAATGTAGAGTTGTTACATATTTTCATATACAAGTTATGCATAATATTATGTTAAATAGAATAGGGCTAGCAGAAGTTTTCCCATTGCAACATCTTTATTCAAATGAAACTGTGGAAGTAATTCTTTACGATGCTGTTTCTGATGAAGAAATAGCTATAGCTCATTTCAGTAAAAAGATAAATGGAGCTATATCTGATGGATTCATTTATAAGTCATCATTTAAAATTCTTTTGCCAAAAGGATATGAATTTACACTAGAAGTCAAACTCCCTGAACGGTTCAAATTGCAAGAATGGGTAGATTTAGATAAGGAGTTACAGATGTATGATGGGAAAGAAAGTCATAATAATATACTCAATATTAAATATCTTGACCAGGATGGGACTGTATTAAGTCATAGGGTAACTCTTCTTCCTTTAGCCTCATTAATGTTTGTTGTTCATAATATACCTATATTGAAAGAACATATACAGACGGCAGCAGAGCGGGATGCTGCTTATCTTCAAGAGGCAAATGTGATAAGTTCAAAATTACTAAAAGAGCAATCACATCACCAAGACATGATTCTGGTGGATATAGTTGATACATACAGAAGTCTCCCTGATAAGATCTTGTTATGTCATGAATGGTTTCACAATTACTACAGTATAAAAGATGTGTTAAAAACGGATGATGATTGTTATGTGGACTTGGAGAAAATTCTAGCAGCGAAGAAAGAAGTGGGCAGTGATCAAATGATGTGGTGGGGGAATTTCCGAACAAACTGGGTTGTGGAGAGACATGGGAAATGGCGTGAGTTAACATACTCTGGGAGTGTCTACCCCAGGTTCGCTTGCGGGTCGGGGTATGTGGTTTCTCATAACATCCACTCGTGGTTGGTGAGTAATAAAAATTCGCTACAACGGTTTCAAGGGGAGGATGTGTCTGTTGGTATTTGGTTATCTGGTTTGAGGATTCATCATGTGCAGGATGATAGCTGGCAGTGTGGGAAGACATGTCAGAAGGGGCTCCTGTCTCTGCCAGAACTGACACCAGAGTCCATTCAGTGGCACTGGAACAACAGTAAGGTGTGTCACAACCCCTGTGAATCTTGTTGACTGACAGTCATTTGGATTGATTTTGTTGACGCAGTCAGCCTGTTTATTTTTTTTATTGACAGGCTGAACTTCCAACGCCATGCAGTGGGTTAAACAAGACTTAGTTTTGTTTTCATTGTTGGAAAGTGTGGTTGAGTGCTTAAATACTAACCTAATAGTTTCAAGTTCAAATCTCAGCCAAGATTTGAGTCTTTAGGTATGCCTCTGAGTCTACCTTTCACTTTAGGTAATGTAAAGGTGGCTGACCACACCATCCCTTCATATGCGGAAGTCAAGAAACATATGAGCTCTACTGCATCTACTCTTTGGATCATTAAGTTTGAAAGAGGAACTTTACTCTTATTGTGATCATTGATTTTGCTGGCAGCATTGAACTACAGCACAAAAAGGAGTCAGCTGGATCTCAGATAAAATTTATCTCATATATTTAGTACTTTTTATATTTTTAGCAATAAATAACCTGCTTTTATATGATCACCAATTATTTTTTTTTAAGTCCAGTGATAAGCTGGACAGTGGGGTTCCATTAAGTTCACCCAGCTCTGATGGTCCCAGATGTACCATTCACACTTTTATTTGCTGTTACTATTATTGTTGAAAGTTATTTGAAACTTTCTATTGCCCTATTTACTGTCTTGTCTCAAAAGATATTTTAATCACATAGATTGGTATTTTTAAAAATTATTTTTTTATTGTCCTATTGGAGTCACTTTTATTTAGAACACATTTTATGATAAAGTATAACTTTTTGTATATGTAGGCATACAGGTACTATCAATGTGCATTATGAACTATGAACACACTAATATACACTTTTTGTGTAAATCTGAGATTGTTCTAATTTGTGATTAATTAAAGTCAGACCTGACAATACAAAACAATGAACTCCTGAATTAAATAATATATTTATATAAATATAATGAATTCTTTATTTTTTAACTGCTTTTAATTATTTTTTTGTTTCTTACTCTATGTAAATATTTTAATTCAATGAATTTACTACATTTTAATCAACCAAAATCAATCAGCCAGATGATGGGAATAAAAAGTGGCAATAATAAATTCCTCAATTCAAATCTGATGTAGGAAATAACTAAGATGATCTGGTTTAATATTAATCTTAAATTTACTTCAAATCAGGATTAAGATCCACTGAAGAAATAATACATATTAACCAATACAAGAAAAGAAGACATTAATCAACAGTGGTCTTACTAATTTATTCATAAAGATTTCATTACAGTTGTGTTTATATATTATAATTACTAAAACTTAAAAATGAAATTTCTAAATTGGGTTGTAATACTCTTTGGAAAAGTAATTTGTTATAAATAAGAAGTGACAAAAAAAACTATGAATCTGTGTATCCCAACATGATCCAGTGATTAACTTGAAGCAAATTAACATGAATCTTGTAGAATACTAGGTAATTTTTAAAGCCTATATAAAAACCATAGAAACAAATTATTAAGTTTTGTAACAGTTATTTTGCTGTAGATCTACAAAGAATTGTGGTGGTCCAATTTGTTGCTCAAATTTTTTAGTTTTCCAGCAGATAAAAATCATATCAATACAGAAAGAGGGCTTACCTTATAACAAAAACATAAGAAATTTTAAAAATAAAAACAAAAAGATTGCATCAATATATTATCATCAACAATCTTTTCTTCTAGGCACCAAATTAACCGGGAAAGCTGAAAAAACTTAAGATTTATCTTTTTTTTTTTAACACATCACATTTTACATTTGACAAATTCTATATTATCCGAAATTTGTGATTTCCACATAGATTGCAGATTGTATTTAAAAATTTCCAGAATGTAGGAAGGTTTGATCGAAATTTGACCTGTTGTAGGTTGTGATATAATTATACATTTCCTGCAATGTTACAAACTAAAATTGTACAACAGATAAAAGCTTTTTAAAATTTTATCACCAATTTTGTTTCATCCACAATTTATCACAGACAATCAATTCATTCAATGTTTAGTAGTCAAAGAATCTTTTTTGTCAAAGGTTTCAGCTAAACATTCTAGTTTTAAAAAACAAAACCAAAGGAAAAAAAACAATGATCTAAAACAAAACTACCAGACAGTCACTAAATGCAAACACTACACAGTAGTCACCTATAATTCAGATCTAGTAGAATAAGAGAAAAGAAATCAAATTGGTTATAACTTAATGCTTCTGTCAACCAGTATAACAGAGAAATAATCTGAAAAGAACAATATTTTTTGTGTAGTGAATCAGTTTAAAAATTCCAATACAAATGTGAAGTTTAAGGTAAATTTGAATTTTTCAGGCATTATAGATTATCCCAATGCAGTATATATTCTATTAAATGTACACTATTAATGTTAATGGAAATTAGGAATTAAGTCTACTCATCATAAATCAATGCTACAGCAGCAAACAAAGGAAACAACTCTACATGACATATGCAAAAAAACCACATCAGGCATGATTGTTTTAACTTTTTAGCGAAAATCAGTAGCTCATAACTTATGTGTTATTGATTTTGACTCTAAACTGACAAGTCTACATATGCAGTTTACAAATAACAATTTGTAAGGAAGTAAGTGTAACTGGGACTGTATTAAAATTTTTCTTCCTACCGTTTTACTAAAATAATACCTTCCATATCTTTAAAAAAAATGCAACAACCCATTATTTGTTTATTAATATTATTTTATCAAAAGATTTAAATAAAACTATTTGTAAGTAGATTATAGTTAATTTAAAACTCTGAGGCTGATCACTCAATACAAGTTGCATGAATGTAAAACTTTTCACAAAAAAAAAAACCAAAAAAAACCCCCCCAAAACCAAACAATGTTAATTAACTGCAACAAGTAAATTAGGATGACTCAAAAATTTTGATCAGCTATTGCCATTGTGCTTTAGTGATAATTTCATAATCTAAACAAATTTAAAAATATATCCTATAGGCGGGAAGAATTAGGAAACAAAATAAAATACAACTAAAACACAATATCACATTTGTTAAAATAATTAAAGCTAAAAAGTATAATTACAATAGAATTGTTAATTCTGGTGTATTTAAATGAATAAAAGGGGCTAAAACAATTGAAGATGTATAGATCCACTAATTCAATGTAATTTAACATTTTTCAACAAAATTTCAACATATCTATTTAGTATCTTTGTAACATACTGTGAGAACGGATTGTAGATAGCAATGTAAAAAAGCATTATAAAGTTAAAAGATACCGTTTAAGTATAAAAATGGTAAAAATATGAAATAATTAATAACTTAAACTTTCGTGTCATTATTTAATTTAATCTCAAAGCCCTAAATCACTAGAAACTAACTATCCCATTAGGTAATTATATTTCTAATTTGACTATATTACTAATGTTTAATAACAAATTTAACTGATTTACTAAATGTCTGGTCTGTTACATGATTATATACTTAATTTATCCACACACTTTTAACATACATAGGTTCAAGTTTTATGTGGGACTGTAATCTCTTGATTCTAATACAACTAATAAAAAAGGGGAATGGGAGTTGAAATAAAAAAATATAATTTTTGAAAATTAATTTTTAAAATTATGATTACAACAAATACCTGGATGTAAAAACATTTTTAATAATTGTATTCCAGTTTAAAAGTTGCAGTTTTTGTAAAAAAATGTTTTATTGCCAATATAAAATTTACTACAATATTTTTTAGACTGGATTATTTAAGGACAATAAAGTCTTCGAACAACAATATTTTAAGACAACATTATTTTAGGACAAAGTTTTGGGAAAAGATTTTTATAAAGCTAAATTGGGGGACTATTATTGTGAGACTACAATAATGCAACCTTACAAATGCATCACTGCTATTAATATTATGCTTGCCATTAATACTGATTTAAAACTAGGGGAGGTAACAGATAATTTTAAAAAGTTAATGATCAGCAAGAAATGGAAGAATATGCGGTGAGCAGTTCAAATAAAATAAAATGCAATAAGCAATATATTATTAAGAATAAAGGTTGTTTTTTTTTAAAATAAAAAGGTATATAATTTGTATTAGTGATGTTTTTAATAAAAATCTAGATACATCATTATCATAATGATCGGATACTTAAGAAATGCTAAATCTAGCAAGTACTTAAAACTTCAACTTTAAAAGATCTTCTGCAGTGTATACCATTGATTAAAACATCAATTAATATGGCCATTTTGTTTCATTCTTACCTAAAAATATATTTACGATTATAATTGTTATTTAAAAAAAAATAATCAACAATATCACATTTGATAATCCAATGTACAATATTTCATCAACCCAAGTTTGACTACAATAAAAACCCATAATTTCATGCCTAAGGTTTATGGCTTTCGAATCCCTAGTAAGAATTCTGCAACACCAAGGTAATAAACAGTCTGTGCTATACCAAACAATGGGGCAATGACCAGCATCCGACAGAAAGCTCCTTTGAAAAATGCCTTTGGTCCCTCGTTTACCATCACTTTTCTGAAGCAGAAAGCAAAAAATTGTAATAAAGTTTTATGAAAAATAAACCTCTTTTAATTGAATATTGATTTCAACCAGTACGTTATGCAATGCTAACACAGGTTGTATGAAGACAGTTTATGATAAATAGTTAAACAATGATCGACTAAAGCAAATATCTAATACCAGCACTAACGTATTACCATGACCAGTTTTCAGAACATAAAATGAGTGATAATTTTTTAAAACAAAGAAAACAGAAAAATTAGAATGAGATTTTACCTGAAACAATCAATGATTCCAGAATAGTAAACTTCACCTTTGCCTTTACTCAAAGTTTGTAGTCTGGTCTTCACAACTGGGAGAAATAAATAGTTATCAAGCTGTAATTTTAGGTTTTTTTTTTACAAACTAAATAATGTGTTGCCATAAACAAATAACTTCAGTGTATTAAACAGCTGTCTACAAACTAATTCATTTGATACTATAAAAATAAATTTATAGTAACAAACCTTTAACTCTCGCCTTTGATCCATACTAAACTAACCATCAAATTACATGACAGTAGTTTTTTTACCATTTAAAATTTCATAATAAATAAGTGTAAAACCACGCAATGTTCTATAATACTTACCATCAAATGGTGTGACGAGGAATGATGAAAAGCAGCCTGCCGCACAACCAGAGATGAATGAGTGGTAAAATACAGCCTGTTCACTACCTTCTCTTCGTTTACCCTGGAAACATTATTACAGCACAAGTTTTAACAAAGATACAGGAAAGGAAATGTTGAACACAGGTTTATATAAGGTTACAGGGAACAACTAACACAGTGTTTACACTTAGGACATGTATACTATGCATGACTAGGGGAAATAGGTCGTAACAAGTAAATATACATGTTCTGTGGGGAAAATGTTTTCAAATAACATTAACTTGTGGCGAGGTTTTTTCTTTCATATTTTTTTGTAGTTTACATGTTGCAAGTGTAAACACAGTGTGAGGCTGTTTAAATATGTGTCAACTTTAACTCATATTGTGAGTGCCAAAATGTAAAAAATACCGTATATCTAAATATAAGATATATTTTCAATAATTTATTAGATTATCAAACTTCAATTAATTAATAAATTGTAACTTTCTTCTATAACTGCATTACTTATTTTGACAGAGAAAGCTAATTTAAAATTTCACCCAATTTCAATTCTAGTGTTTAATTGTATGCTAGATTTGAATGCTATTATAAAAAAATGTGTCAATACAGTTACTCACTAGTCTGTTGAGATTGGCAAACAAAGGGAAATAGACAGCAGAGAAGGTTACGTCCCTTAGAGCAGTAGCCCCACAACCTTGATACAGTCCCAGAATTCCTCTGGTCCTCAGTAAGTCTAGAGCAAGTTTTGTAGCAGAGAGGCGCTGAGATTTTGCAACTGTGGCGGCAGCACTCTTGCCATCTGCCATCAAGTCTATACTGGCTAATTTAGGAAACACAAAAAAATTAGGAATTTTTAATAATGACCACTTCCAGCAAGTTAATTAAAACTGAACTGAAATATTAAATAAAAAAAAAAATACTGACCACTTTTTAATTGTATTAAAATAAATACTGACTGCTTTAAAATTGTATTAAAAATGCTGACCACTTCTAAGTTGTATTAAAATGATACTGACCACTTTCTAATTGTATTAAATAAAAAATACTGTCCGTTTTAAGATTGCATTGAAAAAGCTGACCATTTTCAAGTTGTACTAAAATAATACTGACCACTTCTACCAGCATCTTGCATCTGGATTTTGAGAAGCTCCATGGGTGTTGTTATAATAATTTGGCACAACCCAGCACTTGCTCCAGCTAATACCTCCCTTCCAAGAGGTAGTTTTCCACTGCAAATAAACCATTTTTAAAATGAAGCAATTAAATTATATGCAGCGGGGAAGAAAGGTTCTATTTAGGGGATGGGGTTATAGTCTTTTCTATATATATTTTTAAATTGTGAGTGACATGAGAGGGCCATAGCCAACAGTTATATTTGAAGTTCAAGGATATATATTATAGATTGGGGTTCTAACCCCCCCCCTCCCCCAAAGCCGCTGGTCACATAAAGAACTAAAAGAAATTGGACAGGATAATTGTAATTTCTTATTAGTTACAAGTTCTTTAATTATTAGTGGCTGTAATTGTAATGACAGTCTGCTTAATTCCACGGTTCAAAGGATTTTCATAATTACTTTTTATTTAGTGATGAATCAGAATATTATCTTAAAATAAAATTATTATACTTTGCTTCTTAAGGATTAAATGTTTGTAGTTTAGTATTGCGACATAAACTTACTTAGCAGTTTTCAAATGGTGCCTAAAAAAGTCATTTCCAACCAGCTTGATCACTTTTTCCGGAGTTATCAATAACAGATTGACACCAGAGCCTGAAATTCGAGACACAACAGGTGTAATACACGAACAGGTGTGACAAAATCCGCATAGATCAAGTTGAATAATCAGCACATTATATTAATAAAAACTGATACATTAATTACAGGGAGGTGGCTGGCCTTTACGGGCAGTGTTATCAGACTAGTGAGGGGGTGTAGGCTGCTGTGGAAACAGGGGTGTGGTGGTCCACTCTCAAATGATTGCCCGAGGGATAAAACACCATCTTGAGGGCACTGGTGGGATTGTGACATGGAAAAAGAGGAAAGACATTTTGCATGATACATTTGGTTTACCCTAAATAAAACTGTTTAACATTTTGTTTTAGATTTTTGACTTACCCCTGTACATGCCAAAAAAACCTTCATTCCTAAATGTTTTTATTGCACAGTCTGGTCTGAAATTTATAAAAAAAAATCTGATTTATTTTGCATAAACGTTTATTTACAAGTTTAAACAGAATTTCTATAGAACTATACAGAATTTAATAAGATAGAGGATAATACAATAAAAGTAAAATAAAGAAGTGGATAACTCTTTTATCTATGCAATAAATGTTACATTAAAAACTTAATTTATTACAGTATATTACACTGTCATCCCTTGGTAGTACACAATAAATTTTGCTGAGGCTCAGCCTCAGCCCCCCTCCCCCCCCCCCACCCTACCCCAGACATTAAGTGTTTGCAGAGTAAAGATACATGAAGCTATAAATTAACCACTGAGAAAGGAAAAGAGCTGAACTTACAAACTTTTATACAGCAGCTGTCCCTGAGGTCCAGGCTGTTGATTCTGTAACCTTGTCTTAACTAAGTCAATAGGGAACACACAGGTCACACCCACTATACCAGCTATACTTCCATTTATCGTACGGGGAAGCAAACTGTAATTTTTAAAAAATGATATTTTTTAAATCATAAATCATCAAACAATTACAACATCAACAACACATCACATAACATGAACAATGTAGGCTATTCATTTTAAAAAAAAAACTTTAAATAATTTCAATTTTTTAGTTAATATACTAAACCATAAAAAAGTATGATTTTATTTTTAATTAAAAAACACTGAAGTATTCTTTAAAAAACCTCAATAATGGGTTTTTTCACTCAAACATTTCAGTTTCTTTTTAATAGCCCTTTAAAGATCTTGTTTTTGTCCAATAAAACTGTACTTACGAGAATTGCTGCTCCATTAATGGTGTGTTGAAACAATAAATAGAAACAAGCTTTAACTGGAATCAGAGCAGATGGATGATGCAAGGAGCTGAGAGCTTCGAGGGTCTGCTTCTTCCAAGATTCTCAAGAGCTACATAGATATGTTTTTAAAATATAATTATTCTGTTATAGACTTTTGAACAGATTAAACTTAGAGATGTTATCAAATAGTAACCTTTACATTAGCTATAGGCCTACTGTCATAGCAACATCACTTGTACCATCATACACTTTATGGGTTTTGGTTATAGTTTAATTAAGTCCTATTTGCAACGCTAGCACTATTATTATGATAATATCTCAATATCATGGTTCATGTAAAAAAATCTAAATGGGGAAAATGTAATTTTTTTACCTGTAAAAGTACGTAAAAGTACTTAAAAGTAAAATGTCATAAACTAATTATAACTGCATTCAATTACAAGACTTGATGAAACATTCAGGTTAATTAATCTCCATTAACTGAATTATGTGTGATAAGAAATAAGAAGACCCCAATGCGAAGATCCTTTTAAAAAATATTACTTGAAAGATACAGAATAATAAAGATATGACATAGAAGCTAGTAGGTCTACTTAAGATAAGAACAAATGAAAAACAACTATTAAAAAATTCTGTAAACTCTAATTTTTTTCATTTCAGTTATCTGAAGATGCACACTAATTGCTAAATTATATATTACAATTGTTGGTATAAGCTTATATGATGAATTGGGAATTAGAATTAGGTTGTGTATTTGAATTTGAACTTTTTTTTAAATGTAACATCATTTTTAGAATACAAACAATGTGTTGTGTTTGTGTCAAGTACTCTGTTGATGACTGGGCTACTACACTCAGTTCAAGTCAAAGTCCTTAATTTTATCATAACAACCTTAAGTCATTAAAGTGCATACAGTTAGCAAGTTTAAACTATTGCTATCATAAGTCGTACATAAATTATGTTGGCATAATAAGACTCTTTCTTAAAACATTTTCTGCTACATTTTTAAAAAGGGAATAATTTTGTTTAAAAATTCAACCCACAGTACAGTCACAGTTCCAAGTTAAGTCGTCTTTTTTTAAAGCTGTTAATTAGATCTAGATCTAGCAGGTTGAATAAATTAATATATTAGCCATAGGGCTTAAAATAGATTATGATAGATGAATAAGAAACTATATGTTGTAATTCAATTCATGTGTAGAGCAGTGGCATCATAAGGTTGGGTGTCACCCCCCTCCCTCTACTAGATCTAGTTTGTTGTCTCAATTGGATAAAAAAAAACAGTTCTGACAGTAAATTGTACAATTTTTTGTCTGGTGTCACCCCCTAGACCTAAATGGTGATTGGTGTCACCCAGTGCAGACTGCACCCCCAGCCCCACCTTGTACCACCACTTGTTATTAAATTACACTTATAGGGCCTACTGTTAACTATAAGCTACTAGATCTATTTACTATTACTTTACTAGATATATACATTTGAGTCTCTTTTCAAAATGATTCGGGTTGTAAAATACTCTTAAAATATTAGGGCAGAGCTTTGTAGTTAGTAACAGTAAGGCTTAGTTAGTTATAGTTAGACATAGAGGGGCTGTAACAGTGTAACTGTAAAATAGTGAGTGTAAAAGCTTATAAAAATAGTCGGCCTAGAAATCTAGATCTAGGCCTATAAAATAATAATAGATCTAGATCTAGATCTATTCTTTTTTAACAATCTGACTTGTCTGTTATACAACTTAAAAAAAAATACTGTTATAACTTTCTCCACTTCTTTGTAGTATCTAGATCTAGATCTAAGTATTATAAGTAATATTATTAATTAAGATATTAATATTGCTATCGCCTATAAACTGATTATCTAATTACTAATTTATTAGTTTATTTAAAATACTAGATCTATAATTTACTCGATCTAAATAGTTTAAAAATTATTTGATAACAACCATTTTTAGTGTAAAAGTAAAAAGAAACCATCTTTTCGTTTCAACATTGATTATTTCCCTTAATTTTATCATAAACTATGCACGCGCAATAAAAACAAAACAACTACGTAAGAAATTTATTTCGCATTCTTGACCTGAGACTCATGAGATTGATGGGTGTCATGCGACCAAACGAACGAAACTTTCAGCGCCAGCGAATTGTCACGCGACAGTCAACGTCATTAGCGGTTCAAGTGTTTCTTTTAATAACTGTAATGGGGAAAATGGCACGTGTTAAATGAGAAAGTTGGATAAAAAACTTGATGACACGTTAAGTCTACATAAAATTTTTACTAGGATAAGGCTTAGGCTCATCCGCAATTTTTCGACAATTTTTACCCGACTACTCACCCCCGCACACACACACACACCATCAGGAACACCAAAAGCCAGTTCTCCCCCCTAAAATGACGTCACACCTCAGCCTTCAACACGCCTCAGATAAGTTTTTTGAAACATCGATTTCTTTATAAAATATTAACTGAGCTCAGTCAAAATAGGGCATTTTAATCGATGTTTATTACAACTTACAAAAACATTTCTAAAAATGTGAAATAACGGCTAAAATTCTGGTTCAAACTCTAATATTCTTTATGACACCCACCCTCTCCGTCACATAATTCAGAATTCCTTTCCCCTCCCCCCCCCCCCCCCCTCCCCCTAGAAATAAAACGATCGCTAGTGTCATTTGAATCTAATTTAATTAAATTTTAGCCCCGAGATTAGAACCGATGTCGATGTCTAGAGATAGAGTCCTATAACCTGTAACAAGTTTCTGTCGACAGCTTTCTTGCGCAATGAAACACCATCAACCTATTCTTACACTTTTGGCACTGTCCTTTATTGGTATCAAGTAACACAATCGGCGAAGCGTGACACATTGAGACACACTGACACACTTTGACACCAAAAAAATATGATTCCGGGATAGTGCTTTTATTTCCACTGCACCGGAACCGAAGCGTTGCAGACAATAAATAGCCCGAGAAAGTTCAAGGTAATCATTTTCCATAAGAGCGGCTAGACTAGTGTACAGCTTAGCCTATATCATAAGATCCCCAATTATAATAGGCCATAACAGAGTCTCTTCCAGGCATCTCTTCGGGGGGGGGGGGGGGGGGGGGGGGGGGGCTTTGCCCCCCGAAAACTTTTTACCGCCCCCCCCCCCCGAACGAAATGAAATTTATATAATTTATATAGAAAATATATACTTTTAACAGTGTCCGCCCCCCCCCCCCCCCCGAAGAAAGTTTACCGCCCCCCGAAGATTTCAAGTGCCCCCCCCCCCCCCGGAGAAAAAAGTCTGGAAGAAACACTGGGCCATAATGTATCATATTTATATATGCACATCAATTTCGATTCCTAGACGGACGACTTTGCCAAAATGTGTATCAAATTGAACTTACCCAGGAGAAAAAATGCAGTTTAAGATACATAAGCCTTAAAGTTGTAAAATAATGCTTTTTAAATATAGTTACGACCTGGTTTTGCAAGTCATAAAAAAGACAGTGTAATGTCTTTAAAGAAATCAACGGAACATTTATAGTAGACTAAATATAAATTTGGGTCGAACGAAAATTAGGGCAAGTAAGGTCGAACTTTCGAAAGTAGAGGCCGTGGCATTTAGGCTGAGGTTAGAGGTCAGCCCTTAATTGAAAATGTAGCCTAATTAAAATAGACACCATAATTTCCCATGACTTCCTTCCGCACCGCTACAACATGAGAGGTTAGCTATAGAGCAGTGGTTCTTAACTTTTTTGGAGCTACGAACCCCACACGTTTCATATGCACATTCCCCTAACGCTTTTTAACACGTTTTTATTAACTCAGCTTCGCGTGTGTTTGTTGTTAAAATTGACATCGAAAATTAGCCCACTTCTGATTGCTCTATAGATCTGAAATTTGGCATGCAGGCTACTTTCGCCTAACAATTTCAGATGCAATCATAAAAACTAGCAATTAGAGACCGTAATTAGCTTAATTTAATTACGCCCTAAGGACCATAAAATTGAGGACATGATTTCTAAAGATACCGACAAGACTGGAGGCCTATTGACAGTTACTTCGGCCCCAATCGATGTGAGCGCGCTGGCCGTGATCGTATAGTGGTTAGTACTTCGCGTTGTGGCCGCGACAACCCAGGTTCGAATCCTGGTCGCTCAAGATTTTTAGTCCGTGTATTTATAAACACTTAGTCAAGTCATACTTAAACAAGTCATTAGATAAAGTAGAAAATAAACTATATAAAAAACTTTTTTTTAAAAACCACGTTTTTCATGTGTAGCAACGGACTAAAAAGGAGAAAATAAAATACTTAAAAAAAAACTTTTTAAAAAACCACGTTTTTCTTGTGGACTAAAAAGTAGAAAATAACTATTTACATACATTTGATGACAAAAAACGTGGGTCGGGCAGATGGGTCGGGAAATTTGATGGTGAACGTACCCACGTTTTTTGTCATCAAATGTATGTAAATAGTTATTTTCTACTTTTTAGTCCACAAGAAAAACGTGGTTTTTTAAAAAGTTTTTTTTTAAGTATTTTATTAATAGTTGTATCATCTGCACTGACAAAATCCGATCGTGAATCATATGAGTCGGTGTGTGTCGTGCACCTCCGCCGAACCCCTTGAGACTGAATCGCCGAACCCATGGGGTTCAATCGAATCCAGGTTAAGAACCACTGCTGTGAAGTGTAGAGTCGTAACTACTTCATGGCGTAGGGGTTAATTTTTCATACCAGTATTGTTTCATAACATGCGTTAACAACCAGAGTGAAATACATCCTAGTGAAAACCAGGGGTGGAGTTAAATTTTCGCAAAAATATGCAATAATTTAGCTCGTGACTTTTTTTATTTACTTTCGTGAACAATAGTGTCAATAGGGTTTTTTTTTTTCCTTAGAGCAAATTATTATAACGACAATGACTATTAACCCTAATAACATCTGTCTAATGTCAAATAGCTCGTTTATCTGTTTATCTGTTAGGAAAAAAACACTAAGCAGTGCTTCAATAGCAGGACATGAGGTGGCCGCCCGAAGCTACTCTCCAGTCAGTCTATAACATATTTTACTTCTTGGGGGGGGGGGGGGGGGGGGGAGAGGGAAAAAGGCACTTAAAATTTACGGGGTGGGGTGTCAGCTCCACCCTTCCCGAAGAGATGCCTGAAAGAAATTCCCGATGCCCTCCCTCGAATCAAATAGGCCTAGATCTATATGAAAAGACACGAGCTGCTCACACTCGTACGTATAAAAATCGCTTTAAAAAAAAAACAACGTAACTTTTATCACAAGTTCTGGTTAGCTTTTCGAAAGAAAATTATTTGCTAAAAGTGTATCAACAAAGTAAATTCCAAGCACCTACCTATTGTAAAGTCACGTTTCCTCAATGTAAGCTAACAAAAACACAGATCGTTCAACAGATGACGGTAACACAGGCCTACTAAATTTAGCATAACCTTGTCTGTATAAATTATCTATTCTGCCTACTCATATCTTTTACATCTGTTTTACAAACAACATGTGATCGTTTGTACAAAATCCATTTAAACGGATTAAAAAAAAACACACCTGAAACTGGATTAGTAGAGCAGGTAAACAACAAGGCGAGCAAATAAACCGCCAGTTAAGTCACCTGACTGCTTTCAGTACTGTTGCCCTGGTCAGGCTCTTTACTGTGGTGTCTGTCACGTTAAGTCAGGAGGGAGGGGGGGGGGGGGGAGATGCCAGCGTTAAGTAATGGGGGCACACGTGGCGTTCACATAAATATTCATGCGGGCCTAGTCTATATAAGTACCTATGTGTTGGTGTGTTGTTGTACCTATGTGTTGTTAGAGATTATGTGTGTATGGGTAAATTGCTTACGTGTGCTAGTCTGTATTTTGAACATGTTGTCGTCTATGTGTATTTTAGACATATATAATGGTTCCCGTTGGTGCCCAAGATACAAGTTAATCTGCAACAAAGGTCGGCATATGAAGAGATAGTGTTGACGGTACTATGCTCAGCCGTTTGCTACATTAAAGCTGGGTGTACTCAGGGACGTTCCACTTATTTGAACCCTGATTCGTACTCGAGACAGTCAAGCTCTCTGCCGCTAGGCCACGCCGTCCCATTGTCTGTAGATAATAGCGAACAAAATCCTTTGACATCCCCCACTATCGATCAATGTCTACTCAATAGCACAGGCTAGGTAAAGAGTTAACGTTTTTTAAAGTGCGTGTAAGAGCTTGTGAATATATAACAAAAAATTATAAGCCTAGTCTTTATTTATTCATGTAGCCTGGTTCTTTAATTTAAAGAAGAATGATTAGAATAATGTTTCGATTCCTTATTTAGCCTATTTAAATAAAAAATAAGGCCTATTTGAGAAAGAAGCCTATTTGATAAAAGCTAAAATTAATGAATAAAAAATTGTTACACAACCATAAGATAGGCCGATTGGTCACAGTTAAAAATATTCGTGCGCTCAACATCGAGTGTTGTACAGTAGTCTTTCACGGGAAACCATATTATAGCACAGTGGATGTCCGTCTATTTGTGGGGAAATGTTTGTGCTTTTGACACCGCCAAGTTTATCTGTGTATATTTACCCTGTTCGCACTCAAAACTTTGTTAACGACCAACAATCCGTGTGCTTGTGCGTGTGTATTATTACAATCCCCCCCCTCCCCCATTTTTTTCAGCCTGCGTATGCTTCCAATAGTATACAATGCAACATAAAATAATCGATACTACTTGTAAATCAATAAACTGCGTGACCCAAACAAACGGAAAGAAAGACGGAATCAATTTTGGACAGCTTGATTCAAACAAGACAGCCCTCCCCAAGAACTTGGGCCTACTTTCTCTTTCAAAACACTACAAGTGTGTTGCATAAAAAATCGTTACGTAACAGGGGAAGAAAAAGTTTATTGAATGCACAACAGACGAGAATGGCGCACTATCATGCTCACGTATGAGTTGCTCTAAAAACAAGAGAACACCTGACGCTAACAGGTAGCGGGAGGGCGTCAAGTCCACTCGTGTTATCTTTGAAGCACCCCACTATCAGGGTATCATCACCGAGGGCCAGTATGAGTGGCCGGAGTGTGGACATCGGGTCCTGTTAAATTGATTAACGGCTGCTGAACTACTTGTGTGGGATACACCTGAGTAGGACTCTATACGACAACTGG